TACATATATCGTATTTATATATCGTATATATACATCGTAAATGTGCGTAAGTGTGAGCTTATATCGTATGTGCGCTGTTATTTCTCAAACTCGCTATCGTACGATATACATATATCGTATTTGTATATCTGACATGCTTATCGTAAGTGTATTTCGTAAGTGTATATCGTAAGTGTGTGCTTATGTCGTATGTGCGCTGTCAATTCTCAGGCTCCCTATCGTACGGTATGCATATATCGTATACATATATCGAATGTATATATCGTAACTGTCAGTATATCGTAAGCGTGCTTATCGTTTGTGCGCTGTCATTTCTCAGCCTCTAAAACTGACGCAAATGGTTAATTTAATTACAAATTCTTTGCTTTCTTTTAGCATTCATATTAAATTTTCATGTGTGCCCAACACAGACGTTTGTGTGTGTGTGTCGGTGTGTGTGTCGGTGTGTGTGTGTGCACCTGCTGTCATTGCTACACTTGCTGCCTGTGCTTCTGGACGTTTAAATACCCTAGAGACTGGCGCAGCCTCGCCCAAGCACACACACACACACACACGCACGTTCACTGATTGTGACTTCAGTGAAAAATAGCGCTCATTAATGCTGCTCATTAGCAGCCGCAACGGTCGCGCACTGCGTGTGTCCTTTAGTCCTTTGCAGCCTCGACACACATATACATATATCTAACATGTATATATATATATATATATATATATATATATATATGTGGCAGCTCTTGGGCCATTCAACGAGTGTCAACTGGCAAATGATTTGCCATTATTTACCAATAAAACTCATCGAGTTTCACCACACGCTAATCGAATGTGCCCCGCCCACAGCTTGAGACCCCAGCCGTAACTCCCCCAATGTAGCTTCCATCTGTGACAAGTTGTCGCTGCTCGGGCAGAACTCTTAATGCGTTCTGACTGCACGGCTTCGCCCTCCCCCCCAGTCGAATGGGCCCAATCAACTTGACTCTGCTCAGCCCAGCCCAACCCCGAGGCTAACCTCTGCAATTAGTTGTCTAAATACCTTAAGAAACTGGATAAACTGGATATATATATATATATATATATATATATATATATTTATATATATATATAAATACAAATTTATATATATGTTAACTATATATATGTTAACTAACTGTAATAACAGCAGCCCTCTCTCTCTTAATACTTGTGTAACTCTTCAGCTTTCCATTCTTCTATCGATCTATACTTTTGTGCCTCTTTCATAGCTGACTCTAGCTATATCTTTTATCTATCTATCTATTTATATATATATATTACTCTCTTTATGTTTCTTTCGTTCTATCTGTCTCCCTTTCCAGCTCGCTCTCTGTCCCTTTCTCTCATACTTTGTCTCTAACTCTCTCAGCTATGGCTTCTTTTGTCTATTTCTTGGTCTCTGCTTTCTCTTTCTCTCTCTCATTCCTTATCTCTTTTGATCTTAAATCCTCATTGATTACTTTTACTTCTTTTTCTCTCAGTATCTCCTCTTTCTCTCTCTCTCTCTCTCTCTCTCTGCCTCAATCTATCTGTCTCTCCTTTCAACTCCTTTGCTCTTTCTCTTTATCTATCTTTCTCTCACATGATTTTAGATCTCTCTTCATACTTTCCTCTCTTCCTATCTCTCTCCCTATCTCTCTCTCTCTCTCTCTCTCTCTCTCTCCCTATCTCTCTCTCTCTCTCCTTCCCTTCCTCCCTCTCTCTCTCTTCTCTCCATATCACTCGCACTGTCCAAAGCTTTCTTTTCCTATCCATCCGACGCTTCTTCCTCTATCTTATCACAATCTCTCGCTCTACACTCCCACTCTCACGCCCTCCCTCTAGCTCTAGCATCCCTAACGTCGCTCTAGCACTTCCTATGCTAACTGTAAACCCAATAATCTGAGCATTTGGTAAGCTGCACAAGCAGATCTCAATGGATGCAATCAGCTCGCAGCTCACCTAATAAAAGCAACTGTGAGTTGGGCACGCATAGAACAATGCCCATAGTTAGGATCTGCGCTGTCAGATATATATATATATATATATATCTATATAGCACTAAGATGAGGGTTGTTCGCTGCGCGTTCATAAGATTTTGATTAATGGCTCAGGCTGAAGCTGGATTCAATTTGCAAACGCTGCTTTCTTTGGCTCTTTTCTATTGACGTTGGGTTTTGATGCCTGCTCCCAAGTGGGCGGCATGGGCGTGGCTAGTTGTGCTGCCATTCAAACTCTTTTTCGTTTACTATTTTTGGGTCAGTCTTGGCGTTTAATTTCGTTTATTCATACGAATGGCCACAAAATGACATTTGCATTTGCCATGGACAGCGGTCACTGAACCGAAGCCCCAGCCACAGCCCCAACCTCCAGAGCAGCCCAGCAGCAGCGCCACAGCTGCATCCCCTGGGAGCAGCTGAACCTGCCTGAAGATGTGAATAAGGATATGAATGAGCACGTGAATGTGAATGGGTATTTGAATGGGAGCATGTGAAAGTCGAGCTGCAGCTGGAGCTGGCCCTAATCTCATAACGAATGAATTTGGCCAAATTTGTTTTGACAACTGAGAAGCGAGTGCCAAATTTATCTAATGCCAAAGTGCGAGGAACTATTCATTCAAGCCCTAACACCCACTCGGACAATAGCTGGGCCCATACCTATAGCTATATACCTATCTATATAGACTATATATATCCAGTCGCAATTAGTTTCATGCTGAGTCGACGAGTCACAAAAAGGCGCAGCTAAAACAAAGATAAATGAGTTCAAATCTGAGCTAAGCGTGAGCTAGCTCGACTTGCACATACCCTGTGCACTTCCACTTCTTTGTGGGAAGAGTTTCTTGAGCTAAGCTTGAATCGATCAATAATTCGAGAAGCAAATGAAAGTAAAACCGCGAACCGGTTCAAAAACCTGTTTTTCAAGCAAATTTGCTAATACCCTGTACTTTTTTCTGTTCTAATTTGTTAAGCCTTAACACTCATTAGAGTTTCTGAAAAGAAATTACAGGGTATACAAGCTACAGTGCGAGTGAGTTGGTTTACAGTTATTAGTTTATCCTATACCCTATATTAGTCAAGCAGACATATTATTGCTTCTCAAACAGCTTTACAGGGTATACAATTTAGTATTTACTAACAAACTCGCTCTGAATCTCTTAATAGCTTACATTTTAAATGCAGGGTATACAAAATACAGCAGGCTTTACAGACTGGGCATGTCAAGTACTTGATTAGCTGGACAGCAAAGCAGAGACTGCGATAAACAGTCCAGTTAAGGCGCTAACAATTTACAGGGTAGTACATAGTACATACAACCAGCGAGCAATGCAATGAAAGTAAGTTGATAGCTGGTCGAAACAGCTTGCCCACTTTGTAGGTTGTTTACAGGGTATGAACAAGCACATGATTCCGGTAAGTGAAGCACTCATTACAATTTACAGGGTATCTAAAGCATATATCATTAGTATAACTAGCCTCAGTTCTTGATGAACCAATAGCATAGCTCGTATGAAAACGGCCTGCCCACTGTGTAAGCTGTTTACAGGGTATCATAATGCAATAACTCCTTGGCTCGTTGGCCAAACATGGATGGGTGCAAATGGCATTTTGGATGCCGCTGCCATAACCGTGTTGCCCCTTTGCCTTGGCCAATGTGGCCAAAAAGCAATTAGCAAAGTTTTCAGCTGCCGTGGCCGATGCCAACCGACAGCCAAGCCTGGCTGGCCGGCAAAAGCTCAATGGCTGGCTGGCTGGCTGGACGGCAGCAGCAACTATTCGCCCATCATCAATCTGCTGCTGCTGCAGTTGGTGCCACTCGCTCCGCTGGATAGTGCATAACCAGTCCGGCGTACGTGTCCCTCTGTCCCACGGACGTTGGGCTAGTCGAAGAGCAGGCGCGACCATCGTCATTTCCAATTATTCATGGATAATCTAACCCAAAATGGGACGTTAATTACGGACGCATGTCATTGCCATGCCTCTACACTAATCGGTGCTCTCCCCATCTCCCCTCTCCCCTCTACTCTGCTCTCTGCCAGCTTCTCGCCTGTTGTGATTGCAACATATAAACTACTTGCTTGCCGAATCGCAAAACGTCGCTGACCCAACGCCAAGGCGAGGGTAACTGAACAAGCGACCCTCGCGCATTTTCATACTCCTTCACTATGTGATTAATTGAGCTGCAAATCGTTGTAAAAACGTAATGGAAAAAATAGCAATTCGCTGTTTTTGACAACTCACGATGAAGTCGCAACGACTTCAATGCTGAAGTTCAGACAGCATCCCAATTAAATATGGGGACATTTAGTCTCGAGCACGAAATGCTTTCAAATCTATTTAATGCATCTAACCAACACAGAAAAATCACTTCTTAAACTAAGCGATATGATCATTTTTCGTTATTTTTAAGGAACATAATTTATTTATATTTATATACAGATTCGCTTCATAATTAAATTTATTGAAGTGAATTTGGCAATGAATAAAGGCAGTAAATTATTTATTTTAAATTCACTTGAAACACTAAAGCTGTTGGCGGGAAATTCAAATTTGATTAGTAGCTACGGGCAGCCCACAGTTTTTGTTATGTCAACAAATTTGAGCACCCAGCTGTTCACAATGAATACTGTTCGCGGCCACTTTTAGGCAGCCCATATTTGCGGGCCAGCTATTCAAAATAAGCTGCGTTTATTTGATACTTTACAATGCATTAACTTAGGTATTTTCTTACAAAGTGCAGAATGCGAAGTATATTTTTATTTCATTTAATGCACTTATTTACATAAATATCAGTAAAAGGTAGCCCATAGTTTATGGAAGTATAAACCAATCGCGAGTGGTTCACAATAGCTATTAGGCAGCCCACAATCTCTAACACAACAAATGTGGTCATCCTAATTACCATTTTCTCAGCTGTTCAGAATAAGTATGCAGCTTTCGGCACCAGCAAAACAACTGTGCAGCTCGTGTGCTACAAATGAATTTTGCCCAGCCTACCGCCACAATTGAACAGCATACAAGCCTTGAAATATATGTAAGCCGCATGAAGTCTGCCGGCAAAACGCATTGTTTAGATCAATTTCAGTACAATGGCCAACATAGTGCAATATATTGTGGTGCGTAGCGATTTGCGCAGCACTCTTAACTGGCCACTGGGTGCCGTAATAGCACAATGTTGCCATGCAACGGCTGCTGTGATGAGCGTCCATGTCGACGACGAGGAGACGCAAGCCTATCTCAAAGATCTAGACAACATGCACAAAGTGGTGTTGGAAGCCAAGGATGAGGCGGCGCTGCTAAAGCTCACCGAAAAGCTAAAAGAAAACGAGATCAAGCACAAGCTCTGGATTGAACAGCCAGAGAATATACCAACCTGCGTGGCCCTTAAGCCCTACATCAAGGATGCGGTACACAAATATGTAAAGCATCTAAAGCTATTAAAGTAAAGAACTTTAGCTAAGATACCATTTTAGCATTTCCTTATGTCAATAAATGTAACATATTTGTATATTTGTTTGTGTTTATGTGATTGTAATTGATTTTCATATTCTTACAGATAGAACAAAAGGCAGCCGAAGATCTATGAAAAGTTTCAGCTGAGAGAGAGAAGAAACTTGTCTTCCGCTAGACCTGAGCAAAATTTTGTAACAGTTACCTCAGTTATGTTAGTTTTGATACCCAATATAGCATCTAAGAAGCATTTACTACAAGGAAACAACTGAATTCCCTCGCTCTTGTAGACATAAGACTTAATGTCCGAATAATCATATCACTCATATATTATAAGTATATACCTTAACAAGTATAGCGAAGCTTCGCTGGAAAACGCAACCAGCCTCCCACACAACTCAAACAATGTTTCAATATCGATAAGTCTAATTCACTTTTGTGAAACTATCTAGGTATACAACATGAAGACAGCTTCCATGACTTGTGAATACACATGTGTAATCGATAGCTGGGATATCGATATAGACAGCGGAAGAAGCTATGCAAATACGCAGCTCAGTTAGAAAAAGGGAAATTCCCACGACAAGCAGCCAAGCAATGCACGAAAATGAAGAAGACGGCGCAAACTAAAACTGTGAATGACAACGCCCATTTATATGTATGCATATATATATATATATATATATCTCAATCTCATATATAGACATATATGCTTCGATTGCTCAAATAAAAAGCATTTGGTTTTTATGTAGTCAATAACTTAAAATATTTGTATCTTGATTTTTTGCTGTCTGTCGCTCTCTGTGTGTTTGTTTTGTTTATACAAATTCCTTGAACATAATTCTGGCGTTAGATTTTAACAATTAAACACTTTTGCCAAACAAGTAAATCGATAATTAAAAGTACGAACTTCTGTTAAAACTTATACAAATTTTCTAGATCCGAAATAGTTATCTATAATTATATATATATATATATATATATATATATATATATATATATTTATCATCTGTATATATATATATATATATATAGATAACTGTAGAGTATATATATATATATATACATTTACATATATATATACTTTATATTGCAACAAACACACATAATTATTGTTGTTTTTCGTTTGCTGTTTAAAAAAAATCCATAAAATCGAATTCCAAGCCAGATTCGAACTTAGCTTCTGAGTTGATTGGGGTTGGAGGTCAGTTTCATACGGATGAACTGCTCGAAATGGCTGCGGTATAGTATCTTGGGATGCTTCTCGGTGGCACTCGCGTCCACCTGTAGCGTGCTCGTCCATTTCCACAACTTGCGATTTATGTAGCTTTGGCGAAATGAGGCGAAGATCTCATTGAAGCGTTGCGGAAGGATTTGCTCCTTGTACAGCGACTCGTTCGTGTTGGTATTGAAATAGTAGACCTGCTGACGGGACCTCGAGTGGGCTGTCACAAAGTTGGGCGTCAGTTCGCAAAAGATCATAATCCCGCCGGGCACAAAGAACTTGTGGTCGTCTAACATGTAGCCCAAACGCTGTGAGTTGTCCTTGAGCAAATAGGGACGCATCTGGTCAAAGAACTGGCTCATGTCCTGGAGCCGGAAGAGCGGCTTGCAGCGTATGGCACCGCACGTCCGCTCCTTCTTGTGCGGCTTGTTCAAACTTCTCGCGAACTTCTCGCACATGCTGACGCGCTCATGGAACGCTCGTCGTCGTATTTCGATGCCGCCCAAGCAGATGGCGTCCATGATGTGGAGCGCTGAGACACTCTGTGACGTGCGTCCCTTGCCGCTATACTCGAACACAATCTCGCCGAAGAATATGGAGCGTGGCTGGACATTGAAACTGGTTTCCACCTGCTCCCATTTGCGATGGTCCGTGTAGCGCCACAGAATGCCACGCGACTTGCACAGGAAGAGGGTGCAGCCATTGATATTGCTCTCGCCACGTCCGATGGGCATGAAATGCCAATCGTTCACATTCGCGATTTCTCTCTGCAGCTGCGTCACGGACATCTGCTCATTGGCCGTTTGATGCATCCACGAGCGATTGGCGGCCCAATCGCCCAACAGCTCCTCCAGGAAGCGTTCCGTCGGCTTCACCTCTGGCGCCTGGCGCAGCTTGTCGGGCAATGCCCAGCACTTGAGGCACTTCTGCCGCACCTCCGACTGGCGCGTCTCCTTCAACTCCAGATTCTGTACGAACGACGCAATCTTCCGCAACCCGATAATCTGCTTATTGCCAATCGCATTGTTCGAATTGACGATGTATTGCATGAAGTGTTCATCCTTCATCATTTCGTCGTGATTGTACAGCTCAACCACATCCAGCACATCTTCCTTGTGCTGCTGCTGCTGCTCGGTCGCCTCGTTCAGCAACTGATTCACATTGTCCAAGTAGCTAATGATGGCCTCCGTGCCGGGCAGCTTGTACTTGCAGACGATATAGCGCTCCGAATTGGCTGGCCGGCTGCTGTTTGGCTTAATGATTGTTATCTTCTGGAAGCACTTGTACATCAAGTAAACGAGGCTAACGCTGAATGACGTGAACAGGTCGAACAGCTTGCACACAAAGCTGCCATTGACGCGCACGATCTTGAGGGCCGTGTTGAACTGGCATAGATACAGCTGCTTGGAGAGTATCTCTTGAATGTTCTCCTGCCCCTCGACCGAGAAGCCGCCGTCGGCCATGGCAAAGTGGACGCCATGCGGTGTGTGCTTGCGTATATAGTCATTCAGCGAATCCTGGTTGCTTGTGTCGAATATGTTGCCGTCATCCTTGTCGCCATAGAACGCATCGAACGATTCCGGCGAGGCGGCAAAGAACTTGTCCAGCTTAAAGTCATTTGTGCCGCGCAGCGTAAATCCGAATCCTCGCGCCTCCCACGATTTCCGAAAAAGCACGTACTCAGAGAAGCCGCCAGGTCCTGCATAGACATAAACATAGATTATAGTATATATATATATTCTCATATATATAATTGCTGCAATTTATACCCGCGCACATGTCCGCGAAGTAGAGCAGCTCATTGCTGCCGATTAGCGAATTGCCATGCTCATCTCTGGGCTCGGTGAACATATATTCGCATATGGAATCCATGTTGGCCATCTTGACGGCGGCTCGGTTTAGAAAGATGGAGCTGCGTATCATCTCGAAGGGATTGCTGCGCGAGCGGGCCCGCCGCATTTCAGTATCGTTCAAGCCGTCGAAGAAGGACTTGGCGCTGAGTATGTGCTCCAAGATCTCGGGATCGCAGAATTTTGTCTCATCGTCGAGGGTGAGTTTGCGTGGTCCGGTTACCATATGCATCATTAGCTGTTCCAGTGTATAGGAGCCACAATTGTCACCCTTTTGATCAAGCCAATTAACTGGCTCCGGTATTTCCAAATTCTCTAGACTTGGATCCCACTTGCCCGCTGTCCAATGGACGGTGTTTAGTTTAAGACCAAATCCGCGCCGTCCGTCCTGCTGCACAGCAATGACGGGCTCAAGACGACCCTGATTGCTCTTGCCCAGACCCTTGTCATCCTCGTAGCCCATTTTCTTCATCATGCCCATGACCTTGTTGGAATAGCAATAGCTATTAAGCCAGTCGCGTTTGATCTTTTTTGTCTTTGGCTCAAAGTTCTCATCGTCCGACTGCTCCTCCCTTGTTCTAGACAGTTTCGCTTTACGCTGCATTGCTAATTTGTTTATCTTCCTTTACAATATAGGGTATTTCGGCAGTTGCTTGTTTCTTTTTCTGCTGCTGCTGCAGTTGCTGTTGTTGTTCTTCTTCTTGTTGAATTTGTTGTCGATGCTGTTTCACTTGCTGCGGCCCTTTCAGTTTGTCGTTTTTCTAGCGATGGCAGCTAGCGATAGCAATTTATTATCCCTTCCTACATTCATTGTGAATGGCATTCATTGTGAATGAAAACAATACGATTTTTCAGTTTATCGATAGTTTTATATATTCAAATTGTGAAAATTCAGATCAGACAACTTATGCTCATTGACGTAATGATGGATATTTCAACAAGCACTTTCACATTTTCTCAAACGTTTCAGTATACGGGCAAGTTAAACAGGAATGTGTATAATTATCCTCAGCCTCATTGTATGTATCTGGACCAAACTCATGGACATGCACACCTTTGGTTTTCTTAGTATAAATGCTGCTTCTAACCTCCATGCGCAGCTGCTTCATTTGCTTATTGTATTTGCGAGTTTTGCCCAGGACGCGTTTGTCCTCCCGCAGCTCGTGCTGCCGCGTTAGCTCCTCCTCGCTGCCCCACACATCCAATGCGCGCTGCACCACCTGCAGGTGCAAATACAATTTCATTTCACCCCAGCGCACATTATGAGGATTCTTGCGGCTTATGTAACGCAACACCGGCTCCCGCTTATCGAAATCGCAATCCTTGAGCAAATATTCTGCCTTCGCTTCAGTGCGTGTAATCAATGAGTGCCGCTCCTCGTTGTCCCGGCACTTGTCGCAAACGGAATGGCCGAAATTATTGAATAAATACGAGTCGGCATATTGATCGCCGCAATCGAGACACTCTTCATAGACTACAGGTATAGCAATGGCATCCTCGATGATGGGCGCCTCCAGCGGCTCCTCCTCTGCCGATTTGTTTGCCGCAGCTAAAACTGGCTGCTCCAATAGGAATCCGCCGCCAGTATCAATGTATTTGGTACCCTGCACCTTAATGACAGCATTATCCTGGCCAGCTATTGGAGGCTCCTCACTGCCATTGCTGTTATGCACATAATAAGCTTGACTTTCAATTAATATATCTATTTACGGTTGACTTACTTTTGTACATTCTTGTAGGGATGCGAAACGAGCTTGGCCTCCCTCAACTTTTGTGCCTTGGCTTGATTGCGCTCGATGCGAGCGCGTTGTGCAGTCGTTAGTGTCGAGCTGTTGGCCGTTTTAGTTGTTTCTGTTACTAATTCCTGGGACATTTTGAATCTTTTAGCGCAATATCATTTCATACGTTGTTGTAAATTTAATACAATCTCTTCTTCTTGGCACTTTCGCATACACTGTATCGCTTTGGTATTTAATTTGGTATTTTAAAGTACTTTTTTGTTTTGATACAATACTATGCTTTCGAGAGCTGTGACTAATATTCCGTTTTGTTGGCGTGCTTTGATAAATGTTATTTATGTATTCATTATTATTAAGTATATACTTATTTGCTTGTATTTGTAATGAGTAAAATATATAATATTTTAATTCAAATATTGTTCACTCGTACGTCATCGATTAGTCATATCGATACTATACGATCTATTGTCTTCTAACAGTTTGGCAAGCGATATATGGCTGTGTTGTTGTCATCGCTAGTTGTCATCGCGCAATGTTAAAAAAACATTACAAACTGCTGCTAAAATGTGCGCTTGCCGTACCTCTAATCTTTCTGGTGGACTTTTGTGGCATTCTGACACATCTATACGAACTGGACTTTGAGACGCACTACTATTACCCGCTGCACAATGACACCGTTCCACCGCCGCTGGATTACAAATTTATCCAAATGCCAGCATTTATGAAAAATCACGACTCAGCGGATCCGCCCCGATTGACTATTTTGGTAAAGAGCGCCATTGGCAATCTGGAGCGACGCCAAGCCATACGCAAAACGTGGGGCTATGAGGCTCGTTTCTCCGATGTTCATATTAAGCGAGCCTTTGTGTTGGGCACATCCGCCAAGGGTGCAGGTGTTAAGGATGCAGCGCTGATCGAAGCGAAACAACATGGGGACATAATCCGTGCTGACTTTGTGGATACGTACTTCAATAACACCATCAAGACGATGATGGGCATGCGCTGGGCCAGCGAACACTTCAACACCAGCGACTTTTATCTGTTTGTAGACGACGATTATTATGTGTCCATTAAGAATGTGCTGCGCTTTCTTGGCAAGGGACGCCAGACGCATCATCAGAGTCTTTTATTTGCCGGCTATGTATTCCAGACCGCTCCACTGCGGCACAAGTTCAGCAAGTGGTATGTTTCGTTAGAGGAATATCCATTCGACAAGTGGCCAGCGTATGTGACAGCGGGAGCGTTTCTCTTGTCAAGGGATGCCTTGCTCAAGATGTATACAGTAGGGCGTTCCATTCCACTGTTCCGATTCGATGATATCTTCCTGGGCATGGTAGCACTGAAGGCGCACATACCCGTTCATCACTGCGATGACTTTCATTTTCATAGGCCCAAATATTTTGGGCCGGATAGCTATAGTGATGTGATTGCCTCGCATGGTTTCGGCGATCCCATCGAGATGGAGCGCGTTTGGAATGAATGTCGATCGGCAAATTATGCGTAGCAATTGTTAACGTTGACAATTTTGACAATTGGAGAGCACTCAAATGTGTTTATATATATACCTGCAAACCGAGCCTTATTAAAGTAATATTAATATCTAACTAATAGATATATATTCATTTAAATAATTAAATTTAAAAATGTAACGTCTTCTGTCATTCACAGTAAATAAGCATTACGAAATTTCTGCAACATATCGCAGAAAAAAGCAATCAAACAACTATCGTTGCTCGATAGCATACGTCAATGATCGTTGTATAGGTCAGCATGCGATAACAGCTTATAAAGTGTCGATGCATTCGATGACGCTATCGATAACAACTATGCGTTCGTTCAAACAGCCCCAACATTAATCCGTACGCCTTCATCTTTTGGATTTGAACAATTGTCGCGCAGTATTAAGTTGTGTGTCGTTCTGTTTGCTTGCAAGCTTTCGCGATATAACAGTAATATAGTAGTGTCCAAGTGCTAACACTTAACACATAATATATATATATATATATATAAATACATTGGTACATGTATATATAGATATATATAATTCCACCCAACCAGTCAACACACCCACCTGCATTTATTTTTTGTAAAGTGCGCAATTCTTTTGCCATTTAAAACCAAACCCTAAATTTAAAAAAAAATCACCAGCTCAAATTAAAGGTGAGTTGAAGCTTCTTTTTTGCTTTTGCACCGGCAACTTTTTTTTAATAATTTTTTTCTCCCCCATTTTCAATACTTTGCTACGTTTCGTATTTTTTTCATTATTGCAGAAAGTAGGGGGTCAAAAAAAATATGGGAATAAAAAAATCTAAAGCTGCTGTTGCAAAAGCCAGCCAACGCCAACTGGTTTTTGTTTGCGGCGCTATTCTTGCGTTCCTCTTGTCTTTTCTTGTTGTTTTTGTTGCTGTTGTATTTGTTGTGGCTGCGCTTCCAGCATTCCCATTTCCATTCATTGCAAATGTTCGGCGAGTGTAAGAGAAAGAGAGCGCGAGAGACAGCGAGGGACGGGATGAGAAAGGGGATCCTCTTTAAGATTTGTTATAAATTATTTATTGCGGCAGCCGCCAGTCCGTTAGTTCTTTTTTCTGTCTACATTTCTACCAATCTATTTGAGCAGCTGTTAAGTCGACGGCCTTAAGCTTCTTTGTTATTTTTTCGCTACTTTTTTTATATTAAAGTTTTGCCGGCCGGCTTTTTTCGTTTTTTTTTTTTGGCGTCTTTTTCGTGTGGCTGTATCTATGTGCGTGTGAGAGTCAGCTTATGTGTGTGCATATGTCTGCGACGGCTGCTGCTGCTTGGGCGGGGCGTTTGACGCTGTTAAATATCCTCCCCACAATGTGTGCTTGCGGCTTGCGCGTGCTCACACACACGTAAAAAAGCACACACACACATGCACATGAATCTACACATTCATATATATGCATGTATATACATATATGTGTGTAAGAGTGCAGCTGTGCATTTAAGCTGCATCCACTGCTTAATATTTGTATGCGCGCTTGTGTCTGGCTGTATGTGTGTCGCAAATTTATATTGAGGGCGTGGCACATGTGTGATGCTATCGATAATACCCAATTGGAGTTTAATTTATCGCCACAGCAAAAAGCAAAAGATATTTAAAATGAAATAACAGACGGCGACACATGTACATGCATACATACATACAGCAATATTTTTGTATGAGAGTGTGCGCCTGCGAATGACTAAACTGCGCTGCTGCTATGCATATTTAAAATTCACTTAATGTCGCGGGCGCAGATGTACACACATATAGACAAACGAACATATTTAAATTTGTGTACCAACCAACTGGCAGACGTGCACTGCATGTATGCATGCATGTCTGTATGTGTGGGCATAACAGGAGCCAGCGCAGGCTGTCGCTCCGTCTGGTGCTGCTGACTAAGGCGAGGGTGTAAAACGGACGTGTCTGTCATTTGCCTTCCTTCTTTTGTTCTTTTACATTTTCTGCTTTCGCCTCACCGAATGTATATGTGTGTATGTGTATGTACATACCACCGCCAACGCCGCCACGCATCAGCGACATTGACGCCGTCGGCTATAATACTTGAGCGGCCGTTTTTTTTTTGACGACGCTTTCAAATGTCAAAATTGGCCTAACGGCGAATTGGCGGTTTACTGGCGCCGGCCAAATGACCCCCACACTTCCACACACACATATTCATCCGCTCCAATCAGCAAACACAACGACATAAACCCCGAAAACAAGATATAAAATTAACAAAACAAAAGACAGTCCCAACTTAAGCGAAGTTTGAATAGCTCTCACCACCAGCAACAAGAGAGTGGCGAGTGCAGAGTGAAAGAAAAAAGAGAGAGCGCGCGTCAAGTGTGGGCTGAGACAAAAGCAGCAAAGACAAACTCAACGGCAACGGCGACTTCGACGGCGAATGAAGTGATTCATCGCGACCGACCATTATTCGCTTCAAGTTGGAAGTTGATTCATGGCAAACAAGGCGAGAACATGCAAACTTCTCCCCCCAAAAACCCAAAAAATATAAAAATAAAGCGCAACAAAAACAACATAATTCGCCGTATATGTACATAAATGCTACGTGTGTAAATGTATGTGTAAGTTGCAATATTCGCCTTTGTTTGTTTTTGCTTTAAAAAGGAGTTGCTGCTGCTGGGAATGACTAAACACTGCGACGACGGCGACGACGACGACGTTGACGACCGGGCCGTTAGTCAATCAGCGTCTATCGGCCAGGGGCGAATTACGTTTAGGCGCGCCTTAATGTACCCATATATGGTCAATAAAATACAGACGACTATTAAGCGTAGATTTATTTCTATATATACATTTATATTTTTTTTTATTTTGGCGCGGTTGCCGCCCTTGTAACGCTTGCTCGTGCAATTTAGATATACACACACACATCGACATGCATGTATGCATTACACTGCATATGTATGCACTTGTTATCGATATTAATGAAGCGCTTTCTTTATATGTGCGCAAACAAAATTGGTTGAAGTGGAAGCGAGATAGATGACAGATTGTGTGTTGTGGGGTGTTGAAATTAAATACAACCGACTTTAGCAACGTTGCGATCGATCTATTTCTTATGAAGTATGAAAAGTTTTTTGCTTGCTGTCTGATATACACTCACACACACACACACACACACACACACACACACACACACATATATATATATATATATATATATGTATGTGTATATATATATATATATATAATTTTGTTGATTAACTAGAATATACGGGCATGAACAATGGACAATTAGCTAGGCACTTTTTGGTTGATTTGCAACTAAAAATAAACGTGATAAAATGCAGTTCAGTTATTTTGCTAGCAGCTGAGCGCGGCGACTAACAAAACAAGCACTGATAACGGTACACTCGCTTCCAGTTGCTTGTCCAATTGGAATTTAATCTGCTGTTGCTGCTGCGGTAGGTTCGCTGAACTTCTTGCACACGCTCTCTCTCTCCCTATCTCTTGTATTTCTGCTGGTGCTTCGATAGCGCGTACACACTCACACACATATATATATATATATACATATATATACTTATTTTGCGGTGTGTGGGTATGGGTTCGCGTCCTTGCTGTCCAGCATGACTCATCAGCTAGCATGACAAATTTGTATGAATATGTTGCTTTGTGGCTTCGTTTGTTAATCAATAAATTGCTATTCAGCGTAATCGCTATGAGAAATCGCATAATAAACCCAACGGTATACAGCGAAAAGTTACTCAAAACGAAATCAAAGACAAACGCATTCACATGAAATATGTACATTCATCACTGAGTGCGTGCGTGTGTGTGTGTGTGTGTGCTCTGCAGGCTTTGTTATCGATGTGCATTTCCGCTTTATCGAACCGCTAGCAGTGTGTCACTCACCCACTCTGGTCGCTGCTATCGATATGCAGCCTTTTGTTTGCGACGATTGCAGCTGCAACGTTTTTTTGAATTTGTAAATAATTTCATTTGCAATTTCTTTTGTTTAATTTCAGATGGCTGCCCCAGCACCAGCACTCAAGGACTTGCCAAAGGTGGCCGAGAATCTGAAGAGCCAATTGGAGGGCTTCAACACGGATAAGCTGAAGAATGCCAGCACCCAAGAGAAAATTATTTTGCCAACTGCCGAGGGTAAGTCGTCGTCTTGTTCCTCTTCTTTGTCTGGTAATTATAAATTCAAAAGTTATGACCAACAAACAAAAACATTTGCTGCAGATGTGGCCGCCGAGAAAACTCAGAAGTCCATATTCGAGGGCATCACCGCATTCGATCAAAACAATTTGAAGCATACAGAGACCAATGAGAAGAATCCATTGCCCGATAAGGAAGGTACGTATATATATATATATATGTGTGTGTGTTTGTATATACAGAGAGAGTGCAACCAGCTGTTGCCCATCTAAGGCGATTGCAACTAAAATGTGAACAATTTAACAAACTATTTCTATCTCTATCTCCATCTCTTTCTCGTTCTCTAGCAATCGAGCAGGAGAAGGAGAAGAATCAATTCATCGCCGGCATTGAGAATTTCGATGCGAAAAAATTGAAGCACACCGAAACCAACGAGAAGAACGTGCTGCCAACTAAGGAGGTTATCGAGGCCGAGAAGAAGGCCTAAATGCAGCACAAAATAAAATGTTTTTTTTTGTTTTTTTTTTTTTTTGCATTCAGCAAACACACATTCTCTCTCGCTCGCACTCAGCTAAAAGAAAAATAGTTTGTTTTTTTTTTTAATTCGAATTTTAACATTTATGAAGCAACAACGACAGCAAACAGCCGCCATCCAAGCAACAACAGCAACAGCAATAAAAGTTGTTTTTTTACTTCAATTTATTTTATTTTCTTTCCATTTCTTGTCAAATACATTGCAAATAAATAAGCTCATTCCTATTATAATAATAAAATTTCACTCTTAATCAATAATGAAAAACGACAAAAAACAAAAACAAAAAAAAAACAAGCAATACACTGACATATGCCACACTCGCTACCCCCTTTTTTTAATCTTCTATGTACTTTAAAAAAGGCAGAGAAAAAATGTTTTAAAAAACAACAGAAATTAAAGCAAAACATGAGATAAAATTTGTAAGCGCAAAAAAAAGAAAAAAGAAAGAACACCAACAACAACAACATAAAGAGTATGTGTAATTTTTTAATGAACTTTTTTTTATATACTTTATATACGATATATTTATACTGGGAAACTAAATAATAATAAAAACAAAACATAAATGTAACATTTTATAACAAAATCGAAGAAACTTTTTTTATTTATTTTTAATATATTCTTCGTTCAGTTGTTTAAAACTATTTCGATAACTTTAAGGCAGTAGCTGCTTAAGCTATCGATAACAGCTAGCTTAGCCATTCACTCCGGTTAGTATGAACAAACTTTATCGATCCCAAGCCAAGCCAGAAACAGTTTGCTGTTTGGGAAAACTCAATTAGCCGAATTGCTCATTGTTGAACACAGGTGCAACTCATGCATCGACAATTGCTGTGCTATATATAAGCACCTGAGCTGTAGCTTTTAGCTATGATGAGACAGAACGTAGCTGAAACTCTGGAGTTTTATGGCCATTTCCATAGCTACAGCTCACATATGATCGCCCTGTGACTGAAGACTTAAGAATATGTACTCAATATAAATAAAAGTCTTATTCACACATCAAGTTAGGGAACTTCACAAAATTTAGCTTTACTGTTGAGCTGCTCCAAACGAGGTCTATTTAATTATATCTTAGAAGTGCTTTAATGATGTTAGCTGAAAAAGCATAGAACTATTCCAAGTTTTTTTCGTATATTTCATAATACGATCTGTCCTTATTAGAACATGGCATCTATGAAAGGATGACTGAGCGTGTTCTTCTGCACTCAGTGAACTGACAGAAGAAGGCTCTTCACTTCTTCAGTAATAAATCTAAGTAGATCTCAGCTTGGGGTAGTTAGGGTAGTAATATGGTATATAATTGAAGTGCATCCGGACATTCTAACAGCTTCTTGAGTTCGGATTCTCGACTTCCGATACAGTTTGCAGCTTATATCGAAGCTTTGAAACTGCTTTGAAGCAAATTTCAAATGCTATTCAGCTTGATAGAAGCGACATTTGACGTTTGGCGAGCAACGCAATTGTCGTTTCAATAAACATAAACAAAAAACCAGGCAGGCCTTGATAGTCAATGTAGGCCTGTTCGAGCAGCTCAGCAGTTAGTGCTTCAAGTTGTATCTCTGTGAAATAGTCGAACTAGACGAAAAAATAAATAAAAAATATAATACGAAACGGAAATAATAGGAGAGGCAGAGAGTCAAAGATACGCAAATATGGAAGATTGTAAATTGAAAACAGAGATGTTGCGGGAAAAGTATAAGGAGTATCTGAAGCCAATCGTGAGTGCAGTTGTCTCGCGATGCTCTTTGCAAAATTTGTATTCCGTTTCGCAGGATCCGTTGCGACCACTTGGTCGTGAGTCCTCGGACTTGATGCCGCCGCCCGGCAAAGTGAAGCAAACGTGCTTCACGGCCAAGGAGAAGTTCCCTCGGGGCGAGCAGCTAATCAGAAAGCTGGGCAAACGCACCATGCTCGATAGACTCGACGAATATAATAAATTTCGCGTTCCATTGCAGTGTCCATGCGATACGATTCCCCAAGGCGGCGATCCGGCGCGCAAGAAGCGACGTGGGCGTGGTCCGACCAAAGCCAAAAGAGTGAAAAAGGAACCGGAACACATTGTCTGCTCCGTTAACAATCTCCCATTGGCCTATACCGAAAGCCAACAGGATCCTCAGCCAGTTCCCATCGGCAAGCAAAATAATCGCAACGCGAAGGCAAATCTGCGAACGGCAGCGCCCGTTCGAAACATCAAGAAAGACAAGGACATGAGCCAGCAGGCCATATCCAGCCAGCGCAAATACATACGCGCCAAGGCCGACGAGATCCAAAAGAAGTCCATGGCCCTGCAACAGAAGATGGCCAAGCCAAAGGTGGTCAAGCCGGCTGCGGCCAAGAAGGCACAGTCTAAGAAGCTACCACTGCCACCCAGCCCTGTGGACGAGACCATGTTCGGCGTTAAGTCGAAGCCAACAGCTCCTCGCAGGCCGGTTGTGCCGCCAAAGAAACAGCCAACGTCTCCTTCTTCGCCCTGCTTAACTGGTGCAACTGGGCAGGACCAGGCGCTGCCTGAGACCGCCATGTCTATGCCTATATCGGCTGGAGCACAGCAGCAGACCAAGAATTGTGCCCTTGGCGGATCGAATTCGGCTCACGGTTCAGCTATGGAGTTGGCGGCAGCACAGTTTGGACTGGGACAGGCACTAGTCAAGGCTGCACCCATACGAGCTTCATATGCTGGGGGGTCTCTCCCTTGCTTGCCTGCTGCGGCAATGGAATCGGTTGCACCGCAGCTGCCCAAGACTCCGACTCCGACTCCGCGTGCCGGAATGAGCTCAAAGCAAACTAACCCGGGCGGAGCTGCCCATCCCTACTTGCCTGTCGCGCCCAAGGAGTCAGTTGGACCACAGACCTCAACTTTGCAGAGTTCCTTTGGCGGCGCGAACTCGATGCCAACTACCCTAGATCCCATGCAGTCAACCCCAAATACAAGCTGTGCGCCTGTCCAGAATGGCAGTCTGTGTGGAATTACATCGAAGCGAACGAATCCACGAAGACCTGTGGTGCCGCCCAAGAAGCAACGACAGATAACTTCCACGCCAACCACTGCTTCGACAGGAGGGATCCCCTTCGGACCTTACCGAATGCCACCAGCGAGTGAGCCGCAAGTCCCAGTGAAACCAATGAATGCGGCAAACTCAATTACACCCAAGAATCTAGCGTTCCCAACCCAGCAACAGGCGCAGACTACCGCTACGAAGGCCCTTGGCTCTTCCTTGTCGATGCCTTTCCTACCCAGCCAACAATTTGTACCACAGCTGCCGCCTAATCCGCTGAAGTCCTGTGTAGAAAAGGAAAGTATGGATGACTTCCCAGCCAAGCCTGGGAATGCAAGCAAATCTGTTGTGCCGCCTCAGAAGCAACAGCAGGAAGTTGCCCCAACAACGGCAAAGAAACAGAAGTCAATGCCATATTTCGTTGCACAACCCTTTGTGCCCCAGCAGAAACAGCCGTCAGCTGATCCAGTGAACGGTTCTTATGCTCCAGCTCAGCAATCGAACCCACCAACAGCACCAGCGCCAATGCTAGCGGGGCAGTCCAAGCAGAGACGGCAATCAATGGGTTATGCTTTGGCAGGCAACCCCAATGGACCTCCCACAATGCCTTCCACTCTAGCCCAGCAATCGAAGTCACAAAGAGCCCCCTCGCCAATAGGCACTGGGCAGCCCTTTAAGCCCCAGCAGAGACGACAATCCATGGGTCAAGCGATGGCAGAAAACCTCAATGGATCTAGTGCAATCTCAGCTACTCTAGCCGAGCAATCGAAGCCACCAGCAACAGCAGCGCCCATGATGACTGGGCAGCCCTTTAAGCCCCAGCAGAGACGAAAATCCATGGGTCAAGCGATGGCAGCAAACCCCAATGGACCCAATGCAGTGCCATCAACTCTAGACCAGCAATCGAAGCCATCAGCAATGCTGTCTGGGCAGCCCTTTACAGCCCAACAGAGACGGCCATCAATGGGTCAATCGATGGCAGGTTACTCCAATGGACCCAATACCGTGCCATCCACTTTGGCTCAGCAATCCAAGCCACCAACAGCCCCATCGCCAATGCTAACTGGGCAGACCTTTAAGCCCCAGCAGAGACGACAGTCAATGGGTCAAGCGATGGCAGGAAATTTCAATGGATCTAATGCAATGCCATCAACTCTAGACCAGCAATCGAAGCCACCAACAGCACCATCGGCCATGACTACTGGCCAGCCCTTTACACCCCAGCAGAGACGGCCATCAATGGGTCTATCGATGGCAGGTTACCCCAATGGATCGAACACAATGCCGTCTACTTTGGCCCAGCAATCGAAACCACCACCAGCTCATTCGCCATTCTTTGCAGCCCAGCAGAGACAAGCCACTGGTTCAGTTGTGGAATCTAAGTCCAATAGATTTAATGCAATCCAGGCCTCTTCCGTTCAGCAATCAATGCCATCTCCAGTTCTAACTGGCAATCCAAGAAAACCTTTTGTGCCTCTACAGATGAGCACAGCTTCAAAGCTGAATGACAACCTTTTGGCAGCCACATCGAAGGCAACTAATCCAAAGCAAGCCGCTGTGCCACCACCCAAGCCATTGATAAGAACTTTGAAGGAAAATCTCTTGGCTGTGCCACCCGAAATGAAATACCCTCCCACTATGCGAGATAACCTATTGAAGTCCAGTGCAGCTATGGCAGATGGCCTTTTAGGAGTAGCTTCGGCGCCTTTTAATACAAAACGTCGTGGTCCTCCTCCACCCCTTAAACAGATTCCACGAACATTGACTATGAACGATAATATTCTGGGAATAACTTCCAAGCCAACTCATCCATGTAGGCCCTCTGTGCCGCCCAAAATGCAGGTTGCTCCCATTAAAGCCGTTGTCCCACCAAAGCTGTTGCCGAAAAATCTAACTGTATCGAAGTCCACTAATCCTAGGCGACCCGCTGCCCCGCCACAAAAGCAGCTGCAATCTAGTTTGGCCATGGCTGATAAAACAGTAGCATCGAAGCCAGCTATTTCAAGGAAGCCCACTGTACAACCCCCGCAACGACCACCCCCAAATCAAATTATGACACCGAATATTAGTGGTAATATAAGCAAACTCTCCGTTCCAGTCCCAAAACAAGGCTCTAGTATACCCTCAGCTGATAACCTTTTAGGCATAACATCAAAACCCACTAATCCAAGGAGGCCAGTTGTTCCTCCGCGTAAGCAAACAGCTGGGAATAAGACGCGCGCGATCATTGAATTACCGGAACGGAAGGCAAGTAATGAGCCACAAAGTATGCAGCGATTGCCTAACACTTCAAGCGGACTTAATTCTATGCCTAATTTGGACTGGTTCAATTAAGTCAAAACATTGCATCCATTATATATTAAGAGCTTACATAAAAGCTTACTTGAAGCAAATAAAAAAGCACTTTCGATTATTGTTCACAGAATAACGGTGTTTATAGTGTAAGTTTAATCGACATTTCGATATTCGCTGCAACGTTTCGTAATTCTCGCTAGACCTATCGATGTTTTTTTCGTTACGATGTTGATCGTTACGTGCGCGGCGAATGGCATAACTTTAAAAAATCGTTGCAATTAATACAAACTAGCATAATATGATTGAGCATGAGTAACAAAAAAAGAAATTGCAGGTCATACAACGTTTAGGTTATAACGCTGCATTATTTAATTTCTAGCAATATCAATATTTATGAATGCTAACGTGCTAAATATATTCTAACCAATAATTACCATTGCGTTGCGTCCTCGTATGTGTATGTGTTCATGCACATATTAGACGTTGATTTCTGTATTTCACCATCATTATTGAGCTATAAAGCACTATTTAAAAAATACATGGTTTACATTTACAAGCACTTTAATTTGCCAAAATATGGGCACAAACGCACGGCACGGTACAATACAAAACCATAAAACAAAAATTGCTAACACCACTTGTTACTCTGCTCCACTCACTTGTTTAGCGCCATTTTATAAGTAGTGTGACCATACCACAATTATCTTGAATTCGCAAAAGTAAAACAAAAACGTTAAACAATAGTTCAGCTGAAGCAGATATGTTTCGGCATACTAAATGTTAATCAACTTAATTTAATGATTGAAGTACTAAAAATTTACTGCTTATTAATCCTCTTTTCAGCAGCCGCTTCTGTACGTTACTTTAGTTTGCTTAATTACACAGTGTGACCACGCATTACTAACTAAAAATGCCATTATTTAAAACACAAAAGTTTGAATTGGGTAAACAACTGAGTTCCGATATTCAAATCCGATATACAAAACAGTCAGATAATGTTATATTTAATTATTATATATGTACTACTCCTTTTCTGAGCTCTCCATGACTTCCTCCTTTTGCTCGGCATCTTCGCCCGCAGCTGCTGCAGCAGCAGCCGCCGCAGCGGCCGCTTCTTTCGCCTTCTCGTATTTATTGACCTCAAATTTGCTTAGATCAGCGCCCAGAAGGCGTAGAATGTGAATCGTCTCATCGCGATCTACATAGGCGCGCAGGCTGGAGGTGCCGCGCCAGCCCACAATGAACAATGTGAACGCCTCGTCTACATACTTTAGAATACAGCTGCCAACGCCTGCAAAGGGAGAAGCATAAGACGAATGGCTCAACATGGATGAGCTTCACTTACCCAGTTCCTTGCACCGCTGCTGCGTCTCTGGCTTCATTTCCAGCGTTGACGGCGGCTTCGTTGGATCCGTGCAGTTAAGCAACAGAATTAAATCTTCGCGCTCCACCTGAATGCGACGACTGCTGCCAATGAAGGCATTCGATGTCTGCAGGCCCTCCTGGGCCAGGCGGTACGGATGCACCGTATGGCGATTCTCGCAGCGCACAAACGTTTTCACGCCCGTATTGATTATCTTGATGTTTCGTTCATTGTTGACCACCAGATCCCGTATGGGATCGGAGCAGTAGTATATATTCTTCTTGCGCTCCGTTTGGCAGCGGGTGAGCAGGCAGCGTTTGTTGAGCGTCTCATTCAACTGATAGAACTGCTGTATGCTCTCGTAGTCGGCATCATCTTCACCGAAGAACACATAAGGATCCTCCTTATAGCCATGAAGGCGTCGACGCTTCCGCTGCGGTCCCCACGGCACAGACTTCTCATCCTCCACTGGCTTGCCAGACTCGTCGAGCTGAACTTCCGGCTGTGTTGGCTTCGCATCAGCCTTCTCCAACAGATCCTGCAGATCGTTCTTTTCGAAATTGAGTGGACGTCGCTTCTCGATGACAGCCACAAAGAAGCCGCCGCTGTCCTGCAGATGGGGCAATACACGCATACACTTGTCTAGCCCAATTTTGGACATCTCTGCCTCGGGCAGGGGAAACATCGTTGGACGTATAATCGTGTGCAGCTGCTCGGGCACTTCGTCAAAGGAACTGTAGATGGCGTCCACCTCTTTAGTGGCCAGCTTCCAGTCAACCATTCCAGGCTTATATTTGAGACCCGGTACCAGATGCGAAGCATCCACCAGCTCTAATGCTCCATCCGCATCCTTAATGATGCGCTGTAACACCGCCTCGTTTTCAATGGGATTCAGTGAACACGTGGAGTACACCAATCGGCCACCCACAGCTAACATCTCAGCGCCGCGACGCACAATTCTGTATTGGACACCATGAAGATTGTAGGCCTGAGCCAGGTTCCATTTCATCCAGATGTCGGGATTCTTCCGCAGTGTGCCGTCTCCAGAGCAGGGCACATCGCACAGGATCTTATCGAACTTGAGTATGGACTTGCTATTGGTTGCTTCATCTGTTTGCAGCAGATTGGGAAAGAAGCTGCTGTCATGGTTGGTGACCAACAGGCAGGGAGAATTCAAGCGTTTGGCCTGATGAACCAACATATAGCAGCGATTGTTATCCACATCGTTGGCCAGCACGAATCCAGGAGGTATCTTGTACTGCTCCGGTGATGCATGCAGAGCCTCGATTAGCTGCGCTGTCTTTGATCCAGGCGCAGCGCACATATCCAACACCTTGTCCGTTGGCTGAACATTGAGCACTAGCGGCGGTATCATCGATACCGCTTCTTGGCGACTTATGCTGCCCGCCGTTGTCTCCACAATTAGAAAGTTGTGCAGCCGAAACAGTGGCTCCGATCGACGAATATCCTTACGCGTCAAATGCAACTGATAGGCCATTCCGTTTGGATACCAGGGCAAGCACAGGGGACGTTCCACCTGCTCGGCGGGCAGCTCATGCAGCTCGGCCACAGCGCGTACATATTCGGTAAATAGTTGTGTCTTAATTATGTTCAACAGCGCCCTGGCCTCATCCTTGAATCCCGTCACACGAAATGTGGTGGGCAGATTATCACGAATGCTGGCCAAGAATTGTGTCCACTCCTCCTCGGTGGCACAGATCTTCTGCAGGTGATAGTATTTAATGAAGGACGCATTGTCACGCTCAATTTCCTTGTAGGGCTCGGCACGGCGATCCGGTCGCTCCGGAGCACCCTGCGAGAAGAACAAAACAGAAAGAAGGAAAATGTATTCAACAAGTTTTAACTGTTTTTACTTAGTTGTTTACATTGGCACGCTTTTGTCGTTTTCTAGCTGCAAATGGATTTTGCTTCTTGCCACGCGCCATTGTGCTAGTATATGATATTCTTCGCTTGAATTCCTTCTGGATATTTAAGCAAAATGAACGTCTTGAAACTCCGTGCGTTGTGTTTATTCAATGAGCCGGCAACACGTGTTTGACTATTATCTGGCAACACTTACCAACTATCGAGCCGACAACACAACGATATAACGATAATCTATCGATATGAGATCGAAATCACAGTTGGAACTTTCAAAGCTTATAAGATACTTAAAGTATAATATCAAAAGTAGGGAATATGAAAAACTGTTAAGTAATAAACTTAAATGTAAAATGTAAGATCACCAATATTCGTATTTATTTAAATTAAAAAGAGTGCATTAAGTATAGCAATGAAAAGCTGGAGGCATTGAAACCAGATACACTCGCTATGTGTCAGTTAATTGAAAACGTTTAAATATACAATTTGCTTATTCAAATAGAACAGCACTGACAATATAATACGATATAACTGCCTATCGATAACCCAGGGAGCCTGCCATCAACAAACAGACGTGCTTTTTTTCAAATACTATTACATGTACAAGTGTGTATATAAAAATTATTTTTGTTTTTGAAAAGGAAATATATATACAATGACAACAGAAAATAACACAAGCAATGGCCTCGAGGATATACAGTATCTGCTGCATCTGGAATCCCTCAAGCGCTACACAGAGCAAGCAAAAAACATGCACCGCCAAGCAGAAGAGCATGCGCGCCATTTTGTCGACGCCAAACGTGAATATCAGCGGGAATACACAAGCCTAGTCAATTTGAGCAAACATGTCGATCTGCGTGAGATACTGGAAGCGAAGAGCACTGAAATAGCCGCTGCACAAGTGTCAAGCCTACCCGCCCAGCTGGATGGAATAAGCGCCGCCCTTTCCAATGACAGACGACCAACGGAATTTGATGTCCAAACTCTGGAGGAGTGCAAACAGCAGCTGCAGAGCAATCATCGACCGCGGACAAAGCTAACGAATCAACATAAATTCACCAAGAATCGGGAAGCGTTTAAAACGCTACACACCATGATCAAGAGTGTGGAAAATGGCTTTCAGCTGTCTACATTGGCGGCAATGGATCAAATGATCATCGATCCCCAGCGGCCGAATCAATAATTTGTAATAAATTACTTTTTAAATGCAAAAAACAGTATTAGATTCTTTAATTTAAAATAATAAAAAAAATTATGAGGAGCATCAATATATAATGTAAAATATACTCGCAGATATGAACATTAAATAAATTAAAAAAGCGTCAATCCCTTCACAAATGATCGTCTGTGGCAACCCTGTTCATTTAATACGATATTTGCTTGTCGATAACTATTTGCCATCAAAACATTACGTAGAAGAGCCATAAAATATAAACCGTCAATCAAAAGATGACACTAAATGGGAATATCATGTTAATATCTGTGCAATACTGGAAGCAAAGAGCACTGAAATAGCTGTGGCGCCCATCCAGTGAAGTGGAATAAGCACTGCTCGTTTTAATGACAAACGACCTACGGAAATGAATATTCAAGCGTAGAAGAAAGAAGACAGCAACTGACGAACAATAATCGATTACGTACTAATCTATCGAATCATCATCATTTTGCCAACAATCGACAAGACCTTTACAGCTTGATCAAGAGTATGGAGAATGGAGCTAAACCACATTTGAAATGTTTTCAAACAGATTTATATTATTATATAATAATAATAAAAAAAAAAACTATTAGGATCTAATATAAAAATAAATTATAAATTATATAATAGATGCTACCACTGCAAGCGACAAACGCATTTATTGTACTTTCGGCGGGGTTAATTAATTATTAGTTTAGCGGGCGGGCAGGCAGGCGACTGAGCGTATTCTAGGAAAGAGAAAGTTGATAGGGATTAGCGTATTAGCCTAGCGAAACGGCAGTGAGGCTTTAGTTACCACTTGGAACGCTTAGACCAATCCTTGGGCGTCCAGTGCAGGCACTTGGAGTCAATGCGTATCTTGCGCTTCTGCATCGCCCGCTGATGCTGCTCAATCGTATCGCGTCCTATGCAGACAATATACTGACCCTTATAATAGTTGATTAGATTCAGATTCTGCAGCGTAGAGATCACATCCTCCTTTTTAATGGACGTGCACTCGCAGATGTCACTGTAAACGTAAGAAGCACAAGTCATAAAATAGTACAAATATCTGTATATATATATAAAGTACTTGATGGTTATGGTGGGCTTCTCGCCATCTGTCCCAGAGTTTTGGCTAATCAATATCTCCAGTATGGTCTGCGCCCAGTAGGAGCGATAGGAGAGCAAGCCCAAATCGGATAGCGGCTTCTCTGGCGAGCCCGTTTTGCCCTCGAACTTGGACAGCTCGTAGCTAAACTCGATGAGCAGCTTGCCATAGCCTTTGCGCTGATATGGCGGCATGGTCAATATACAGGCCACGTTGTAGTCCTCAGTGCTCTCCTTCTCCTTTGAAAAGTAGCCAACAATATGAAATCCTCGTGAATCGAATTCCGTCATAATGTAAAATAGAAATGGATCCGTGTCATAGTAGAGTGTCTTATGATCCAAAAAGAGCTTGGCCAGCAGGCATAGATTCTGTGCGTAGACCTTGTTCTTGCGTCCATCAATCTCGAAGAATGATATTGTACTCTTGCGATAGATCTCATTACCCGGCGGATGCCGTAGATTGCATTTGGACAAGTGTCGCTCGAGGCATTTGCGACTCTTGCAATACTTTAAACAGAATTCGCAGATATATATACAGTTCTGCTGGCACAGCTCTTGTGGATATGGCGAGAAGTACCAGGGTTTGATGCGATGACGACCCAATTCGATCATTTCGACATTCTTCATGCGCGTCACCACATCATCCTGATGCGTGACCATGCTGCCCGATTGCCGAGGCGTTGCCATTTTGCCATCCTGCGAGACGTCCTCGTTGCCAGCAGCTGACACCCCGCCTACAGGTGTCGTTGGCAGCATTCCGCCGTCACCAGTCACATGAACAGGTGTTTGGGGAGTTTGCGGTGTTTGCGGCGTCTGCGGCAGCTGCTGATGTGGCTGCTGCTGTTGTTGCTGCTGCTGCTGCAGCGATTGCAAATGATGCGCCGCGTGCACTTTGCGACGACGATTGATCCGCTTCTGTAGTGCTGCAGCTAGAACATTGTTGCCATTTACCAGCTCGGTGCCGCTATTGGAACCGACAATAGCGCCGCCAGAGCCGCTAACAGCGCTGCCAACGCTGCCGGCATGCTGTGGCTGTGGCGATGTTGGTCGCGATACGCTGCCCGCCAGCGAATGATGGCGTTTGGGCGTGGTGACGCCCGTGCTGGTGCCTGTTTGTGGTCCATCGCGACGTGGAAATTGCACCTTGCGCGTATCCAAGTCATCCTCGTTGACCCATTCGTCTAGGCGCTTGTTGACTGTACAATATTAACTTACAATTGTTGCCATTTACTCTTGTTATTGTTTACTCACAATCTACATAGTGCACATAGAATTGACGCTTGCCGTCCTGCTCTTTGATGCTGACAATCTCGGCCAGTGGCCAGTCGTCGGTCTTGTGCATGCGCACAGACAGGCGACAGCCCTCGGTCAAAGCAGCCTGACATTAAACATAGGTAATTATTAAAAACAAAATGCCATAGAATAAAAAAAATACGAAAAATCACAAATTAACCGTAGGTTAGAGGGAGACAGCATTACTCGGTTATTGTGTTATATTTGCTTTTTGTTTACTAACAACATTAGATTGATAATTACCGTCGATTCACAAATTGATGACACATCATCGTCGAACTCGTATTTGGTTTTCATTTCGTTATATTCATATAAGTTTCCTATCTTATTTGTTTTATTTATTTGCAAAAATGTTCTGGACTCTGCAAGTTTGACCGGATCAAAATGTCGTCGAGCTATCGATACCCCTGGTTTGTCTCTGCTAGACTATCGATATATCATGTTAGTGTCTCTTGAATTGAGTAATCTAATAGTTTTTACTTGTTATCGATAATAGTAAATTAATTCCGAAATACTACAAAGTAGATTTTGTACAAGAATTTTGTTAAAGCTTAACCAGCTAAACATTGAAAAGAAAAAACAAAATAAATAGACTAATAGCGCAAAAGTGCGCGGAGCCCATGTTAGCGCATACCGAAGCCTAGAGTTGTATTTCAGCTATCTCTATCGCACAAGTATTCGATTACCTCATAAGTCGCCAATAGTGCTGTGAAAGGCATGTGAAAGTGTTGTAAAGCAAAACAACTACGCTCTGAAGTGTTCGTTCTTTTCAGAATTTTTACGTTTCATGTGTAATTAAATACAAATGTCAAAGTTGTGCATTTAAATTATGAACATATGATATATTGTTAAAGTTATTAATACTTGTGTGTGCTTACGCTGGCCCGTCTAGAGCAATATATATCTTTTTTCGCTATGTGTAAGAGAAGGTCAGAAAAATGTACATACATATGTGTAGTGGAAGGTGCATAAGCAAGTGCGTGTGCGTGTGCGACTGTTTGTGTGCATTGCGTATGTATGAAAAAACAAATCGCTAAGCGATTAACAACAAATTAAAAGTGCACAGTAAGCACTGTTTGTGCATATATGAGCTCATTTGTGTATGTGTATATCTCTACTTGTCTATACATAAAAAAGTTTATTTGCATGTGTGTGTGTGTGTGTGAGCGCGCATCGTATATGTAGCTGCTCATGCTAATAGAACGTATTTGTAAATTGCTACAACAACAAAAACTGTGTGGCAAAATGACGTGTTTGCGCTAGTGTTGCCACTGACAACAGAATGCCAGGGCTGCCAACGCGTGTGCACAACTTTTCAACTTCCAAGCGGCTATTGGGAATTCTTACTTCATAAACATATTTTGCTGTGCCTGTAATAATAGAATATTAATTAAATAAAAAAAATCATATTCGATAACTTAAGCACCTAGTTAGATAGCATTGGAGTGTTTAATGTGTGAGTGTGTGTGCCAAAAATAACATCGCCAACTAGATATGAGCGTATGTAAATTTCGCTTTGCAACTAGAGATGAGAGGCATGTGAATATCGCACATCTCTATTTGGCAATACTGCGCGGCTTGGCAAGGCAAATGATTTTTTTGACAAGTCGGATTTCTTTTATTAAATTTTTTTATGTTAATTTGCTTTAATGTAATTCAATTTGTAAACTGTAGACTCGGTGTCGGCAATGTGAGTGTTTCCAGTCCAAATGGTGGTGACAAGGTTGCTCCGCTATAAAGCAATTTAACTGGTTGTCTTAGATTGACGGACTGACAACTGCATTAAGGCGAAAAATCAACAATTCAACTAAAAAGAAAAAATAAGAGAACAAAAAAAAACAACAAAAAACGTAGAATCAGCAAAAACAACACCAGCTACAGTGCGTAGGCAAGCGGCATTTGAACAGCATTAAGTTTTACTAGAAAAACAAACAACAACAATTCTACAGTTCATTTACGTTCGCAAATAAACAATAGCGAGTATTGTGTGTGCGCGTGTGTGTATGTGAGAGAGAGAGAGAAAAGGAAAGGAAAAAATTTACGCCAGACATAAAACAACACGAGCTGCAATTGGGCAACGCTTCATTCAGGATAACAACAATCGCGACGAGAGTGAACGGAAGAGCAAGCTTAACAGCATTAACGGTGCCCTTCTGGGTGCCACTGGCTGCGGCGCTAAAACGCGCGTCGGCGGCCTTGACAGCTGTTTTTCTAGGACATTGGGATCTGCAGAGCATATCCCACATCCCCTATTGGAAATCTACTTCGTAAGTAACTGTTAACTGTGAAATAGCAGTGTGAGAGAGAGAGATGAAGAGAGCGTGTTTATACGTTATATCGTAGTGTCCGCTCTCCTTTTATGCACACACACACATATATATATATATATATATATATATAATTTTTTGTTTTTTTTTTTTTTTTTGCTAGGTTTTGTTTTGGAAGCTGCCAATTGTAAATTGTGCGTGTTTTGTATTTTTAATGGCATTTCGTTGTTTGTTCGATGCCACAAAAGATGAACAATGAACAAATTGGTGTTTCATCAATATCATCATCAGCAACAATCTTATCATCATCCACAACATCTACATCTGCATCTGCAACTGCTAGCAATAGCAGCGCAGCAGCTGCGCAGCTCATCAAGGCCATATCAACAGGCAGCGCCGCCAACGTCGCCGGCAACGCCAAAGACAAAGATAGCAATATTGCCACATTGGTAACAAAAATCCAAGCGATTATACCTGATACGCCAATCGTTTCGATTGCTGCCGGCACTTTGAGTGAGAGCACTTCGACGACCACATCGACTAAGACGACGCCGACGCCCTATTTCCAGGAGCAGCTAACCACCTTAATGTCGCACAATGTGAAGCTGGAGCAGCGACCCTCCAACGATCTGTCCAATAATACCAATAACAGCACCAGCAGCAGCAGCAACAACAACAGCAATAACAACAACATTAACAATAACAGTAGTCAATCGGCAGTTGCCGCTGATCTTAGCCAGAATCATGTGGCGGCTGTTGATAAGAAAAGTAATAGCAGCAACAGCAGCAGCAGCGCCGTTAGCCACAGCAGCGCTGCTAATGCAACGCATCACAATTTAAAATTGACGCCGCTGCTCAGCAAGTCTGGCCAACCGGCGCCCGAGGTGATTGCCGCGGCAACGGCGCTGCATCATCGTCGCGGCGCCACCACCAAAGGCAAGACCCAGGATGACCAATATGTGGGCAAGCGGCAGAAAAATAAAAGGGTAAGTTATCTATATATACACATACATATAAAGTTATATCAAAAAATCGCCACGGCCCTTCCAGTTGGGGCCAAGCTGTCGTATGCAACAGCAATTTCTATAATAACAGCAATTCGCGTAAATCAATTGCCTCACTGTAAATTTCCTTTTCCGTTTTGATGCCCCATTTTCCAAACCTAACTTCATTTTCTTTCCTGCTTTTTTTTTTTTTTTTTTGTTTATTAGATTAATTTTGTTCACTGTTGATTTCCACAAGAATTTGCGGGGTTTGTATGTGTGTTTGCTTGTGTGCATGTGTTGTGGTCCGACCGTTTCCAGCGGACATTTGCAATTATTTTGTACACGCACATAATACATACATATAGATCTGTATATTTATATAAATAAATAAATATATATATATATATATATATATATGCACATTCCCGAACTCTCGTCGCACGTCATATTTCTGCTTTAAAGATTTTTAAATTACATATCCAATAAAAATCGCACAAACATTCTATAAATATCGACAACAAAACTAACAACATGTGGAGAGAGGTACGTACATACGTACATACATACGCCTGACTATATGTACGTCATGCTTGTGTATAATATATATATATATATATGATATTCGTAAAAATTATTTAGCCAACACACACAAATTGATGAAAGAACTGTAAACTTAATTAATAGTAACACAATCATTCATTTCGATTTCGATATATTTTATATTGTCTGTTATTGAAAGTTTCTGTTGTAGTGCTTAGCAACGTGTTCGCACAAGTGTTGCGCATTACAGCAGAATAGAAAAGCCGTTACTTTAGCTCAGACATTCGGTCGTCTGCAAACAGTAGCCACGGCAACGAGCAGTAGAAAGAGATCGCAATTAGCAAACAATTGTCATTTCATTTCCGTACACTGGTTGGCTGGAATGTATTTGGATAAATGCCGTTATCTATCAGCTCCTTCCACTCCACTCACACACACTTGCTTTGTCTCTGTGTCTAGTGTATTGCAAGTTTGCAGATCGGCAGGCCGAACGTGTTTCATATCGCATTGAAATTTTGGTTTATTTTATTTGATAAAGTCAATTCTTTTTGTTTTTGTTTTGTTCTTTTGAGTTTGTTGAGAAAACCACAATTCTATGAACTTATCGTAGACCGTTTTGTTTTGTGGCGCCGCCGCAGCCGCATTAAGCCAAACCACACGCATTAAATTATTATTTTTTTTATATTCATTTTATTTATTGCACTTTTATTGTGTGTGCGCTTGTGACTTGAGGCTGACATATCCATCAACATATATAAATATATATATGTATATGTAAACGCACAGCTATAAAAACTGTAGCCAAGTGCGTTGTATGTTTGAATTTTTAACCAAAGCGCTGCAGCGGTTAGACGAGCTCAACTTGAAACTGTAGCAAAAGCTGCCAGCCGAGCTGAGCGCTACATTTCCAGGTAGCAAAACCCATTCCCTCTCCCCCCCTCCCACCAACACACTTCCAGTAAGTACCGTTGGCTTTCGTTTTAAATCAGTTTTATTGAGGTTAAATACGAACACGCTGCTAAGAAAAAAAAAACAGGATTTAATATTTGCTAAAAATTTGCAGGCAAAGTACGATCCTTGGGAGGATAGCGAAATAAATGATCTCGACGACGCATCATTGAAGAAACTGCTCGAGGAGGCCTATTGGTATCGCAATCCTGGCGATAGGAAAAACAAAAGCGAGCGTTTTCTGGTGAGTAATTGCTTAATAGCTTAAGCTAGCTCTCCATATTAATGCATTATATATATTGCTTATAGCAAATGCTTAAAAAGGCTGAGTACGACGAGGAGAACTCTTATCGTGTCATTAAAACTTGTTTAACACGCAACACGTCCGCATCATCATCAACGTCCAGCGGCTATTATGGCCATAGCAGCAGCGTAGGCAGCGGTGGCAGCAATTTTGGTACGCACAATAGCAACAATAATAGTTATAGCAGCAGTAGCGGCTATCATACAAATCATCGGACGGCATCACAGCGTCATAAGCAGGGCGGCTCTTTGCAGGATTTGGTCGAGGCGACGCATCGCAGCGAGCTGGCAACGACGTCAGCAGCGGCGGCAGCGGCAGCAACCCAACGTTTCAACTGTGATTATCAGCTGAGTGGCGCTAGCAGCAGCGGCAACAGCAACAACGCTCGAGCCAATCGACGCCAACAGCACAATAACAACAATAACAATAGCAACAACCAAAACGCCGTTCTAGCCGGCAAAAAATTTAAGAACAACGCAAATTCGTCCGTATCAGCGCGGCAACGTGAAGGCGGCAGCTTGCCAAGCAGCGTCAACTTTGAAGCAGCCAACATGGATATTAAACAGAAGCTACCCATTGGCGAGGAGATTGTGGTCAGCAATACCAATGCAAGCAACAACAAAAACAATCGTAACAGCAACAGCAACAGCAGCTGCAGCAGCAGCTTGCCCAGTCAGCTGAATGAGACTGGCAACATGGTCATACAGTTCGACGCAGATGGCGTGGCCATTGATGTAGCTGGTGGCCAAATATATGAGCAACCATTGGAGGTAAGGAATGGGTATAGATGTCTGTATAGATATATGAATGCAACAATTTCTGATATGAGTTATGACCACAAATGCTCAAAAGCTTATTCAACAACAACACAAACACAAACACAAACATTTGCTTAATCATATAGCTAAATTAAAGGCGTATCATTTCATTTGTCAACATCAATCGATTAAGTGCCTAAACTGTATACTAAAGACATCGTCATCTGTCGCTGACTAATATAGAACATCCTTTGTGCTGTGTACGTAGTTTGTAGTATGCTATAAGAGTTAGCCGTCATTTATTCATTGGTATATAATGTTCAAGTCATTTGTCTAAGAGCTGCTTAAAGAATCAATCGGAATCCATTCAATCAAATCAATTAACAATGCTCTCAATCTCAGCTTGTGTTGTTCTCATACCTCGTTTGCTTACCTTTCTATAATAATTCCTAAACACACAAAATTATCCTAAATGTTGTTTGTTCTATGCGTTGTACTGCTCTTGTTCCCACACTATCATTAACATTTAACAATTCACATCAATCATGATTGAAGGTAGCTGGTAGACTCGGTTTGTGTGTGTGTGTGTGTGTGTGTGTGTGTGTGTGCGTGCGAGGAGTGGAGGTGAATGTCAATTCAAGCTAACGCGTTCTAAGAACTGGGCAATATTTACAATTCAATCAACAAACAAGCGAAACAACAACAATATATATTAAACTTTGTGCAATTCTTTATTTCTTATATAACCGAAAAAAATATAAATAACAATCAATAATAATAATAAGGAGCAACAATCGGATGCGCTACGCAAGGCTAGCAAGGATAAGGCCATACCCTTCAAGTGCGAACAGCTATTGGACATTCTCAGTCAGCAGATGCAAAAGCAACAACAACAGCAGCAGCAGCAGCAGCAGCAGCAGCAGCTGTCCGATGGCAAAGATTCGGGCGCTGTTAAAGAGTTCCTAATAGATGATCCGCTGCACTTTTCCGTGCTGGAGCAATCTGCCAAGCAACAGCAGCAGCAGCAGCAGCAGCAACGACAGCAACAACATCCACAATACGCCGCAACGCCGTCCAATGCCTTAGGTGCTTGTGGGGGCCAATTCACACTTACTCTGGACGAGCACAAGCGCAAAGTGGAGGCTGGCTACGTTTCGCTCAATGACAGCTACACGGCCTGCTCCTCGGTCTATGGCGTTGGCAGCTCCACGTCCTCGGGCGCCGCTGGCCACGATTCCGGCAATGCCGCTGACCTATTCGCTGGCTCCGATCTGCGTTCGGCCAAAATTGGACACATGATGACCGCAGCGGCCACAGCAGCTGTTGCTGCCTCGCACGGCGCCAAGCCCACAACGGTAAGCAGCGGGCTTATCATATTGTAAATATGCCCTGTACTTATGGAATAAGCTGGGTATGCTGACTAGAAACATTCTGCTAACCTATTGAATAATGCATTCATTAATATACATCATTTTTTGTTTGTCTGTATGTCTCTGTGTGTATGATCGCATCGTGCCTAAGAGAGTGTTAACAGATTGTAAATATGCCCAGTACTTAATGGACGAGAGCAGGGGTATGCTGTGCTTATATGCAATAGGCTGCGAGTTATTGGGAACGGGAACTGCACAGAGCCGTTGACTCTGTACAGCTGCAGCCGCTCCAGTTCCCAGAGACTTCGTAAATACCCTGTATGCATTGTATATGAGGCATATTTGTTAGCTTTGTCTGTTGTGTCCGTCTCTGTATATAAGATTAGCGTCGTTGCTTAGTGTGTGTTAAGGTATTTGAAAATATACCCTGTAGTCATTGAAAACGGGTATGCTTAACTTAGTATGTGTATCTTCTGCTTACTTTTTGAGTGATTCGCATTGTTTCGAGAGAGAGTTCAGCAGCCAAGTCTTTTGTATATATACCCTGCACGTGTAAAAGCGGGTATGATCAGCTAAACATATTTAAACAGCCAAACGCGTTTGTCACTCGCCATATTCCTAGAGCACACTACGCATTATATATGCATAAAACCATATTTGGTCTTAGTTGTAACGTAATATATACGTATATATATATAAATATCGAGAGACCATAATTAATTGCAATTTAGACATCTGATATATGTAATTAGTAGTATAACTAAACAACGTGTTGTTTATGCTATACGAACCACCTTTGTTTAGTTATAACTATATATATATATATATATATATATATATATATATAGCTCTATATATATAAGTTCTAGCCCCGAAGGCAGCTACTGCATATGTATCATAGAAGCGCTGCGTAGAAAAAGAACCGAGACTCTGGAGCTGACGGACCCCTGTTGACGAGGCTCTATTCATTCACTGAAGTCCAAATTGGTCGGGATCCGGATCTCGATTCTTTCAAAACTGACGAGAATATTAACCAGCTCATGCTTGACCTATTGGCGTTGGAATATTCCGCCTCAGTAACTTGCGGAGAAGCGATGTTCTCTCTGTTGCAGATATTAATATCAAATTGCGTATGGAGGAACCGAAACTTCCCGAAGTTAACTGATATATCCTACTAAATGCTAGAATTCAACATAGATTTTGTTGCTGAGATGCAATATATAGAAATAGTTATATCTATTTATAAGGATATCTATATATATATGTACTTAAATTTTCTTTAAAATCATCTTAGAAGCAATAATGTTTTATGCAAATGTCTGCAACAGGCTGAAGCAGACGTAGCACAGCCCATAAATGATATATATATTCTTGAACAGGCCGACGAGCTGAGTCGATCTGGTCATATCTGGCTGTCCGAGTGTCCGTCTGTCCGTTTGAAAGCACAAAGCCCAAACACTTGACATTTCTAATATATATTCATGTATGACATTTCCTTTATATCGATAATAATCGACATTTTGATATCATGGCAATACATGGATATTTCGACTTTTGGATGCCTTAATCATATATGAAATATATTTTATTTTTTTAAAGACTTGTGCTTTGGCAAATAGACTCAGATGTACATCATTATCATAATCCTTCAGAGTCCAGGATATCCACAAGTCGGCCACTCCCGACTAGAGCTGTCTGGCGAGGTTTCGTATAGAAAGTGTTAAAAATTCTTGATGGAATTAAGAAATGTACGCCTTACGCAAATCCCTGAATCAGTTTAAAAAACTTCAAATGTTAACTGTAAATTGTGTGTATGTATGTGTGTGTCATATATGAAATTAGTGGCAGTAACTGTTATTTGACATCTTGAGTGACAAGTCAGGCGAACGAACGAAAGAACGAGCGAAGGAAGCAATGAATGAACGAACGAATGAGCGAATGAGCGAATGAGCCAATGAATGAACGAGTGAAGGAACGAATGAACGATCGAACGAACATAAATAAGAGAATCGAATGACATCAATTCACTTTCATGCGAAAAGTGTGGCAATAGTGACATTAGGAATTGGGAAAATGATGCAATTGTAACTGAGCACAGGGCACACTGCGCTACACAACACAGAGCACGAGTGAAGTGCGCACAGCGAACTTCAAATTGTTTCTCATTTCTAATTTTCATTTCGATTCTCACATCTAGAATGAAAATTTTGTAACTTTTGTCAAGGAAAAACGAGCAGAGAAAAGCAAAAAAAAGAAAATGAAAGTTAAATGCTTGAAGCGTTGCAATAGCAAAAGAGCAGCTCAAATCTCAAAGCTAAAGCTGTTGGTTAGTTAAGATGTTCAGTTCGACTATATCTATATGAATCTATAGAAATCTAATTTGTTTATAAATATTTATTTGTCTTTGCAGCGGCAGTTTGATGAGAACGGCAACGCTTTGAGCGATGGCTATGCAGCCGTAGCAGCGGCGGCAGCGGCAGTGGCAGCTGCTGCCGCTGGTGGCACTAGTAGCAGCAACAGTAGCAGCAGTAGCAGCAGCAGCAGCTCCACTTCCAATCAGTTCACTGCACTAATTACGACAACGCAGCAGCAGCAACAGCGCTCGAATAGCGTTTCAACGTTGTTGACGACGGGCGGAAATGCGACAACACCGGCAATGGCAACGGCAGCTGTTGCTGCCACCTACAGCCAGTTGCAGCAGGCGCCAATGATTGGCGCACCCCCACAGCCACCCACCAAGCTCAAGTCGAAGAAGAAGTCGCAGCAGGAAAGGAACACAACCACGGTGGATGTAGAGTCCGTTGCCGGCTATCGTGGCAAGGATCCGGTCGAGCAGCTGGTCAAATACATTGAAAACGACGGCGCCCAGCAGCAGCAGCAAAAGAAAAAGGAGCGCAAGAAGCAGAATAAGCTAAAGAAATGCAATTCGCTCGAGGAACTGCGCAGCTGCGCGAAAATGGAGGTCGATGAGCTGAAGCGCCAGGCGGCAACCACTGAGATGATGCGCAACAAAAAGGGCGGCAAGCACAATTCCGCTTCCGTTGCGGACATTAACAAGAACTGCAACAAGGAGCAGCAGCAGCAGCAGCAGCAACAGCAACAACAATCATCACAGCATCAACAGCCATCACAGCAGCAGCAACAGCAGCCACGCAAGGGCGAACGTCGCTCCTGGGGCACCGAGGAGCTGCAGTATTTGGGCGAGCCCGCACTGAATGATAGCAACAATAGCAGCAGCAACAACAGCAACTGGAATGAGCCGGCAGCAACACAGCTGGCAATGATGAGCGCGTTGCCAGTGCTTGAGTTGCCAACATTGGCGCGCATGTCCGAAATGGAGGCGCTGAACACGGTGCTAACCGAGACGGCTGAGTTTCATGTGGTCACCAAAAAGAAGAAACCAAAGAAACAACGCGCTGTTACCATGGACGATGCGGCCGTGGCGGCAGCTGCCACAACCGGCGGCAACTTGCAGCGCATGCAACAGATAACGAAGTCGGCATCATCCAATATGATGTCGCAGCGCTTGCGCGGCGGCAACATGGACTATTACAACAATAGCAACAGCAGCAGCAGCAGTTACTATGCAGCACATGCCAGCTACAGCGGCAACAGCAGCAGCAGCAACAAGCAGCAGCAGCAGCAGCAGCAGCAGGCACAGCAGCAACATCATGCCACAACAGCAGCGGCAGCAGCAACAACAACAGTTGTTGGCACGCAGGATAATTCGCGTCGCAAGTCGACATCGTCCATGCCGCCGTCGGAGAAATCTGACTCAAGTGATCTCGACTCGGTGCACTCGCTGCCCATACAAACTGGCAAAAAGAAGAGCAGCAACAACAAGCGTCTAGCAGCCGCACAGGCCAAGCAAAACAACAACAATAACAACAACAACAATAATAATAATAATAATAATAATAATTATAGTAATAACAAAAATGCAGCTGCTGCGCCCATTTCGTATGCGGATATTGCGCGCAACAAGCGCGAGCTGTTGGCGGCTAGCGAGGACAACGATGCAGGACATGACGGCCAGGCAACAACCTCCACATCGTCGCTGCTGCTGCTGGACAACTACAACAACAGCAGCAGCAGCAGCAGCAGCAGCAAGTTGCGCGCCGCCAAGTCGAAGGCGCGTCCCGACTTTCCAGAGCTGCCTGGGGCCATGGTAACAAATATAACAACAGCAACACCAGCGGGCGCTGCGGCAGCAACGGCGGCAGCAGCAGCAGCGGCAGCAACAGCTGCAACAGCAGCAGCAACAGCCGCTGTGCTCATTAGCTACTCGCAGAGCCTGAACAAAATGCCAGCGCAAAGCAACAGCAGCGAACCGGAGGAGCAACAGCAATCGCTGAGCTCACCAGCTGTTACGCCCGCAGCAGCAGCAACATCAACTGCTGCTGCAGCAGCAGCAACATCAATCACAACAAATACCACCTCGAATCAACAGTCAACAGCAGCAGCTGCTGCGCCGCCAGCGCTGCAAAAGTCCAAGAGCGTCGAGCACGATGCCAGCAGCAGCTACAGCTTCAATAGCAGCAATCTGGACCTGCAGTATCCGGCACTGGAGAAGACCGTGAAGCGCCACAGCGTCAACTATGTGTCGCTGCCCGCGGCCATTAGCAGCAACATCAACGCTGGCTACAACTTTGCAGCTGCTGCCAAGCAGCAGCAGGAGAAGGAGAAAGGCAGCCAAGATGTGACAACAGCAGCAGCAGCAGCAGCAGCAGCAGCAGCAGCTGCAGCTGCCACAGCTACAGCAACTACCTCAGCCAAGGCTAAGAGCAAGCCAAAGGAGCTGTCACCAGGCAGCAGCAAGAAGGAGAAAATCCTTAGCCAAAAGCCTAGTCAAGAAGAGCAAATTACGACGACGATGATAACGACGTCGACATCGACATCGACGCCGCCACCGCCGCCCGTTAGCTTCAACTTGTGCTGCCACAACAATAAAGCGACCGCAGCCACACAAACGGAGGTGGCCAAGAAGCACAGCAGCTGCAACACTGTGGCAGCTGGCGTGCAGACCACATTGCCGGCGGGCAATAGACCCGCTGTGATTATACTCAACGATGACCGTGACTCGGCGCTGGGCAGGCTCAACAACGAGTTCATCTTTGGCGATTTCAACGAGGATGAACTGAAGCTCTTCGACGATGCCAGCGACAAGGAGGAGGCCGACGAGAAGCCTCAACAATTGGATAAACAACAGCAGACAACGCCGACAACGGCAACAGCAGCAACTGCAACAGATTCCAGCTGTGAGCAACAGCAGCAGCAGCAACTGCAGCTGCAGCTGCTTAATGATTCGGGCGCTGCCTCCGATTTGGTTAATAGTTCGGCCTGCATGGATATGCTGTTGATCTCAGGGCAGGCGGCACAGTCGTCGCCCAATGCTGCAGCCGCTAATAACAGCTCATCGACCTCATCGACCCCATCCTCATCTGCCTCGTGCTCCACCTCTACCTCCTCATCCACACTGAGCAGCACCAGCAACGGCAACGGCAACGGCAATGGCAGTGGCAGTGGCAGTGGCGGCAACGCCGCCTTGCACATTGCCAATCAGTCGACCGATAGCGGCATCTATGGCGCTGCCAACATATCGAATACAACTGCAGCCAGCATTAAGGATCAGGTGAATCATTTTCTGAGCAAGGCCAGCGCCGCCAATGCCAGCGGCAATAGCCATAGCCACAGCCACAGCCACAGTCACAGCAACAGCAGCAGTTGCAGCAGCTGTCAGGACGAGCCACTGCCCATGCAACAGCTGGAGACGTGCAACGATATCGAGACAGCAATTATTGCAGCTGCACGTGCTGCCGCAGCAGCCGCCTCGTCGCGCAGCGGCAGCTGCAGTCGCAGCAATTCACGCGAGCAGCCGCTGACAGTTGCTAAAGCCAAGGCACGACCAGCTCTCTATGGCGCCACGTATGGCCTGGGCAGTGGAGAGCATTCAGCAGCTGCTGAGAATGCTGCTGCTGCTGCTGCTGCGTCTGATGCTGCTGGTGACGCTGACGACGATGAGGAGCAGCTGCATGAGCTCAGCTTTATGTCTGAACTGAAAACGGAGTTTGTGGCGACGGCAACGCCAACACCGCCGCCACAGCCGCCGACATCAACATCAACATCAACCTCAGCATCAGCATCAGCATCGTCAATGCCAGCACCACCGACACGTCAATCTCTCATGTCCAATACGGAGCTCATTGTGGACTACATCAGCAGCTGTAAGTTAAGAAGAAACATATATATATATATATATATAAATATCAGTCAGTATATATATTTATGCTAGTTAGGAGATAGTAGACATATAGACATAAAAACTATAGATCTATATAGTTATATAATTGCTTATTTAGATCAATAAGATTAATATATATTATAGCACTGGAGTACTTGAGCCTTGCTCAGTTACTTTGTCTTTTTTTATTGATATTTTCAGTACTTATGGGTACAAGAGCTTAGTTTAGATACAGATTCCTTGTTCTATTTTCTGAGACCAAGCCAAAACAAAACGGCAAATGCAAGGAAATTGAGTAGCAACATAATCGAATATACAAAAAACTAGATGCTATAGATAAAGCTACAACTAGAAATAAGTTCATAAAGGCAACATCTTGTATTAGCTATATAATTTATCTATTCAGTCGATTCTATCAAACTATTATCCATTGCTAGCTAAAAACTTTGGGCCAACTTAAAGTGAATGTAATGTAATAAATGAGTTGATCCTCAGATCAGATCAGATCAGTTAAGGATGGGATTGACTTGATATAGACAACTATGGATGTCTAGATAAAGATATAGAGAAAGAAATATTTATATAGTTAGAGGATTTCTCTAGATGTAGATATAGGTAAACTGCCTGAAGGTAATCTTGTTTATATATATGTATATATATATCTATATATATCTTTCTGTCTTATCAAATCTCTACTTATCAAATAACACGAACTAACTCTGCTCTGTTTCGTGCCTTTTAGCTTGGAATGCCATCATCAATAGCAAATACGTAATATTCTACAACGATCAGGAGGATCAGCAGCAGCAGCAGATCTAAGCCTGAAGAGGAAGCAACAAACAACAAACAACAAGCAACAAAACAAAATACATAAACAACACAACACAAAACAAAACTAAAAGAAAACAAAACAAAAGAAAACTAAACAAAACAACACAAAATAAAAAAAAAAAAATAAAAAACAAATGAAAGCAAAGCAAACTGAATGAAAGCAAAGCAAAAAGTAGAAAGAAAAGCAAAACACAGAAATTTTATATTATGTTGCATGTATAATTGTTGAGATAAACTATAGTTGGGTGTTGTTGTGCTGGCCATTGTTAACACACACACACACACACACCAGCTACTACATATGTATATGTATATATATATATCTATATCTATATACCTATATAACTTTATATATTTGCTATAAAAATACGCTTTTTAAGCTAATTGTAAAATTGTAAAAGCCCAACTATTGTTGTACTGTATACAAACATACATATATATATATATATATATATATATATATATATATATATATTTGAGATCACCATTGGAAGCCTCACTAAATAAACAATAAATAACAAACAACAACAACAGCAACAACAGACACCAAGTCAAGTCAGCAAAAATTGCGCTTAGAATAGTTTTTCATATATGATTTGACTATATACGCATATATATGTATATATTTATAAATCAGCATATACATTAACATTTTGTTAATCTTTTTTTTTTTTTTGTTATAGTTTTAGTCTATGGAAATCTATTTATTAATATAGATCTCTAGTTTCTATATAATTTTTTTTTTGCAAACATTTTTCCCGTGTTTTTTTTTTTTAACTAAGAAAATGAATATAAACAATAAAAGAAAGAATTTGTTAGCACGATATATACATATATATATTTATATATATATATATATATAGAAATATATATAGAACTTTAGTTTGTTTAGATTAAAGACAAAAAGAAAAGAAATGGGAAAACTTAAGATTCAGAATATTGAAATGTATGTAAATACAATGAGGTAAAATTTTTGCGTTTATGTGTGTATTTAATAACAAAATATGTGTAAATGGTATATAACTATATATATCTATATTTAGGAAGATATATATCTATAGAGTTTATTGTAGATCGTAAGCAGGCCAACTATAGACACCAGCCATAAGCCTATAGAGCAAACGATGCGCTACTATGCTTAACAAACAAAATCTATTCGAAATAGTTAAAACAGAAATTGATAAAGGACTATATATATATCTATATATGTATATATAGTTCACAATATAACATATACCTAAATCAAAGCATAGGCACTAAATATATATATATATAAATATATGAAATATTAAAAAAAATAATTTTTTTTTACAAAAAAAAAAAAAAAAAAAAATATATATATATATATATATATATATATATATATATATATATATATATAAATCTATAACTAACTACGTTTACGATATGCATAAATATATGAAAATAAAATATAAACAGAAAACGTAAGTCGTTTTAAAAATCAATCTAAAAAGTAAGCAAAACGACAAAATGAAAAAGAAAATTAAAAAAACCTAAAAACTAAAAATTATATTTCAAAAGAATTCTTAAACATAAAAACATTTAATATTTAAGAAATTGAAAAAAAAATATATATATATGTTTCAAATATTTCAAATCAATATGAATAAAACTGGAAAAATATAGGGGAAAATTTCGAAAGAGAAGCGAAAAAGAGAGAGCAACAAAAATGTAGCAACATAGCGTTGTCTCTGTCATATGCATGCCAGCTAAACTAAATGAAAGACAAAGACAAAGCAGTTGCAAAAGCAAATCTAAACAAAATGATATATATAAATAGTTATGTGCTAGGCTATATAAAACTAAATGTTTCTTATGTGCGTGTATTTATGTAATATATAACATAAAATAATATATATACATATATATATATATATATATATCAGCTATTCTAGATGTGTTTGTGCATATACTTATGCAGAAAAAAGTACTTTTGTGTGCATGTGTGTGCGTGTGTGCGTGTGGTGCGTGAATTTCCCTTCAAGTTTGCAAAAAATAGAGAACATTGTGCAGGCCCACAAAAGCTGAGCGCTGCGACACTCACTAGTAGGCGCGCCTTTTTGATTTCTTCTCTATTCAATATGGCTCGAGCTTCCTTTTCTTTTTGTTTTTATTTATGTTTTGGCAGCTGTTGGCTAACAGACCAAAGTAACATTAACTATATATATATATATATATATATAAATCTATATTACAGGAAAATATCAAACTATTCAAAAGTTTTTTTTTTTGTTATTAATGCTAGCAAAAGCAAAATTATTAAAAACAAAATAAAAAATTAAGAAAAACTTAAGAAAACCCAATTAACGAGTGAGTGCTAATGTTTTATAATTATATAAGAGTGTGTATGACCGTGTGTGTGTGACTGTCTGTGTGCATGCGTGTGTGTGAGCACTAAATTTATATAACTGTATACTTCTATATGTAACTCTACTATTTACTATTAAATCGCTATACATACTACAACAACTACTATATATTATAATAATAATTAACAATTACCAACTACACTTATAATTAAAATACTTAAACAGAAGAAAAAACATGAAAAACCAACTACTACTTATAGAGTAGATGCCTAGCCCATCTCTTAACTTATACAATACATACCAAACTATTTGTACATGGAAACCCAACTGAAAACTGAAAACTGAAAACTGAAAATGGAAAAATGCAAAAAACGGAAGCCGAAAAACTCGAAACAAAAAAAAATAAAAATTTTAAAATTAAAAAATTAACAAAAACAACAAAATATGGGCATTTAGAATTTAAAATTCGTTTGAAATGCAGAAAATTTTCAGACCTTAAAAATATATAAAAAAACGAAATTCGTAGTTTAAAAACAAAAGGAAAAAATAAACTAAAAAATAAAAAAAAAATGTGTTTAAAAAATAATAATAAATGAAATATGTGTATTTCAATGATGAATCGAATAAAACAAAAAGTAAATCGACTATGTAATCAACACCATTATATATATATATATATATATATATATATATATATATATATATATATATATATATATGTATATATTTATATATATTTATATATATATATATATATATATATATATATATTCGGATTCGATTTGAATTTTTTTTTGCTTCCAAAATTTGAAGAGAAAAAAATGGCAAAATTTTATTTTCATTTGAAATTTTTTTGATTTTTTGCTTATTTTAGTTATCAATTTAGCTGACATTTAAGTGGGGCTCGGGGGAGGGACAGGGGCTGGGGCTGTCGGGGGCCATGGGGCGGGACTTAACTTCATTTTAGAGATTTGTCAATTTTGGCTTCTGCTTGACAACGACCGTGCGATTGCGAGCGTAATGCGGCCCATAGCCGCGCCCATAACCGGGCAGCAGTTTGACTGGATTGGGATCGCGATGGAAGTTGATCATCACCTTGGCCACGATCGATATGACACGATCCTGTTCGCCGGACTTGTAGAGCGCATCCAAATAGTCGAAGTATGATTCGTAACGGGCGAACTCGCGCTCTCGCGGCGACAGCAACAGAATTTTGGTATCGCGCTGAAAGTCGGTTATGATCTTCAGCTCCTGCTCCATGAAACGACAGAAGCCCACGGACTCGGACTGCATGCAGCGGAAGAACTTGTTCAGCAGATCGTAGCTGAAGACTTTGCTCGGCTTGCGGGGCGACTTGAATTTGGGCCTTTTCAGCTTGGAGACGAAGCGTTTCGTCAGTGTTGGCAGGCTTTCCAATTCTCTCATCTGCGACAATTCGTGCAGGTGGCGGTAGTCGTCGATCAGAGAGTCGCGCGCGACACCAACGGCGGCCAGTTCGACGTCGGTGAGTATATCCAGATTGTATAGCTTGGAGAGTTCGCTGTCGGTCATGCTGCAGCAGCCGGTAAATTTAAGCTTTTGTTTATCAACATCTGCAGGAGAGCCGTGAGGGGATGTTCGCAATTAGATTGATTGTTCAAAACATTTACCATTAATATCGCACATGTTTGACTGTCTGAGTATTTAGTGTATTGTCTTGTACGGGCTAGAAAATATATAAATATGTTTTGTTTTTGGAATATTGAGTGTGTTGACGCTATGAATTTTTGCTGTGAATAACGGGCTAAGGTTGTTTCATAATGTACGTCTCCTTCGATTTGATTCCGTTTTCAAGTTGAACATACATTTGAATTTCGAATTTGAAAAGACCGCCACTTAAACATCGCTTAAGCTGCAGCTATCGCCTATTTATCAAACAAAATATCGATAACTTCTGGTTGGCTCAAAGCGAGCTGCGCAAGCAATTGCCAAACGGTTGAATTGTTAAGCGGTTAAAGAAGCAGCGCAGCGGTTACAGCAACATGCTGTTGCTGCAAAATGGGTGGACGGTCAAAGCAAACGGCACAGCAGCATAGCAAGGCCGACTGAAGACATACACTAGTCAAACGGTTAAACGATTAAGGAAACAGAGCAGTCATTACCAAACGGTTACAGTAGCAGCAGCGTATTCGAGCTTAGCAAACGGTTGTACGGTTCACATTGCTGTAAACAGCTCACGCAATATGGAACAGTAAACAGTACAAGTATAAAGCTGCATATTTACTATTATTGTTTAAAAAAAGAAAAATGTATATTCATTATAAGTAGAATTTCTTATAATGCTTAATCTCAATAAAATAACTATTTGAATTTGGCGCATATTTAAACGATATTTAAGAGAAACATCGCATTGCGATATAAACATCGCGATTTATGTTCAAGTCATCGAATATCGATATACCCATACATTCATTTTCTTTTTTTTTTATTATTTACCAACTGCACAAATTTGTTAAAATGTCATAAGTTTTTTTTTAAAATAATTTATTTAAATAAATTGTAAAATATTTGTAGATAATTGAATGTGTGTCTTTATGTCACGTTAGTGCTGAGCAGTGCAGTGTTTTAGGTAAAAAGAAACAAAAACAATGAGCAGCAACTGGCAGTGATTGTTTGTTTTCTTTTTGTTTGTTTTGACGCAGTGCTTGTGCGTGGGACGTGGGTTGTGGTACGACGCTGACTTCTCGAGTAACTTACGACAAAAGCTGATTCAAAGATGTCTGAGGTACGCATACGTCCACGGCAAGTGCTCGTGCTGATCATCGTGTTTATTGTTGTGCTGCTAATGGTTCATCGCAACGGTAAACGCACCTGCCAGGGCCCCGAATACCTGCAGGCTATGTACAGCAAAGCTCAAGCGGACACGTTGCCGAAAATCTATGCCATAACGCCTACGTATGCTCGACCAGCGCAAAAAGCCGAACTAACCAGGTTAGATATGATATAGATAGATAGCAATATTTGTATATATTAGCAATATTTGTATGTATATAGGTTATTTATATAGTATATAAATAAACTGAACATGGGCTCAGTGGATCTACATCAGTAATAACAGTCGAATTTATTCAGCTTAGTCCGTCCGTCCGTCTGCCCGCCCGCTCGCATTTGTGTTCGAGCGCGTCTCAGAACCTAGTAGGTTCAATCTACTAAAGCTTAGAGCCTTGCACACACATGTCGCTATCGCACACGCATGTCACTTGTGCTGCAATTCATCGATAGATTTCAAATCGATATCGAACTTCAGTTACTTGACTATGTGGCGCACTTTTTAAAAGCTAAAGTCAGGGAGTTTGATGCATAGTTATGATAACTGATAAATATAGTTTATTTATTTGTGTTTGCAATTATTAATGCTTATATATTTTTCTACTTTGGCAGGCTATCACATTTGTTTATGCTGGTGCCGAATTTGCATTGGATAATTGTGGAGGATTCCAACAGCACAACGGCGCTGGTGCGAAATGTATTGGTGCGCGCTGGTCTGGAAAATCGCTTTACACAACTGAATATTAAGACTCCGCCGGAATTTAAGCTGCAGGGCAAGGATCCCAATTGGATAAAGCCACGTGGCGTGGAGCAACGCAATCTGGCATTGACTTGGCTGCGCGGCCATGCCGATGCTGATCGTCATGCCATTGTCTTCTTCATGGACGACGACAACTCCTATGCCGTGGAGCTGTTTGCTGAGATGTCGAAAATTAAGCCGGGTCGTGTGGGCATCTGGCCCGTTGGCCTCGTCGGCGGCCTCATGGTTGAGCGGCCGTTGCTCAACGATGATAACCAGGTGACAGGCTTTAATGCCGCCTGGCGGCCAGAGCGTCCATTTCCCATCGACATGGCCGCCTTCGGTATCAGCATCGATCTGTTCTTCAAGTATCCGCAGGCCAGCTTCTCCTACGAAGTGCAGCGCGGCTATCAAGAGAGCGAAATTCTGCGCTATCTCACCACAAGGGAGCAGCTCCAGCCGCTGGCCAACAACTGTCGCGACGTGCTCGTCTGGCACACGCGCACCGAGAAGACCAAACTCAATGCCGAGGAGGCGCTGCAGCGCCAGAACAAACGCTCCAACGACGGCATCGAGGTCTAACCTGGCCTTCTTACCTGCCACTCAGCATCACGATCTAAACCACTTATTCACTCAGTGTTTTGTGTATTATATAATATATATACATATATTATTTTTGGCTAATGTATTATAAGAAACAAAGCTGTTCAATTGTTCTATTTAAACCTATTCAATTTACCTTTAAGCTTAGCCAAATATATTTTTGTCAACGACTATTGATTAAAGCCTTGTAGAAAACTGAACAAATATTTATATGTATATATTAAAGATCCAATGTAATTAAAGGGTTCCCAGCAGAAGCTGAGCCCAAGAGCAAGCCCCAAATGAAAGACGTTTTCCATTTCCATTGATAAATACGACTTTATTTCCCAACGATTCAGTTTCGTGGTTATTTTGTATTTGGTTTTGTTTTTGTTTTTGGTTTTGGTTTTGGGTTTCCTTTTCGAATTTCCACTTGTTATATTTCTTAAAAAAGCTACACCTGCTTGATTGATCTCATGTTGATCTAGTCAACTCGCACGCCCCATTTTATATGCTGGGCTCTGTCGAGAGCAGCTCCCGAAAATTTCCACATCATATACATAAATTACAATTCAGTTTTGTAGTCGTGTAGCTCTTTGGATAGTTTTCTTAGTTTGTATAATATTTGTATATATATTAATTATTTTGTTTTCATTTTGTTTTTGTTTTTGTTTTTTTTTTTTGGTTTTTTAATATAGTAGGTAAAAAAGCTCTGAGAAGGCGCTTGGCTTAACTGGCAACAGAAGCTACAAAAGCTTTTGGCAAAACATCTACAAAACGGGACGTAATCAAAAAATAAAAAATGAACAAAAAAAAAAAAACAAAAATTATTTTTATATTTTTTATTTTTCATTTTCAATTAATAGATATATATCTGTATATATATAAAGATTTTTTTCTTTAAGCTTTTCATATTCCATTTTTGTTTTTTATTCGTGTAAAAAAAAATTACTTACATCTTACATTTTCAATACAATATATATATATATATATATATATATATATATATATATATATATATATATATATATATATATATATATATATATATATATACATATACATATATATATATATATTTATTTATTATATTAAATTAAATACTTTTTCTTCAATAATTTCTTACTTACAAATTGTTAGATTTTCTTTCATGTTTTTTTTTACATAAAAAATATATATATAAAAAAAATTAAAAAATGTATTTAAATTGAGTATATTATTTCATAATTTGCATTTGTTTTGCTTCATTCTTGTTCTTTATCCTTTTCGAATGTCATGAAAAAAAACTTAGGAAATTATGCGTAGAAAGTAAGGAGTAAAAATTAATACAAATTGTTTTGGCATTGTCGTAGTTGAAATTTGCTTTAAATACATAATTTAATAATTATGTTTCTGAAGATTTTTGCTTTTTTTTCTATATTAATATTTATTACACATTCATTTAAACATTTATGTAGATATTTAGAAATTGTTATTGAACTGCTTATTTTTGACATGAATTTTGCATGATTTTTAAATTTAAATTAAAATTTTGAATTTCTTTTTCAATTTTTCAAATCTCAAATTTCTTGAATTTAAGAAAAATGTTTTAAAAATTTAAATTTTCTTTTTTCAAATCTTAATTTTCCATTTTTCTATTTTCAATTTTTTAAATCAATTTTTGTTTTTAAATTGTAATTTTCCATTTTTATTTTATTCAGATTTTAATTTTAAATTTTTTTTATAATTTCAATTTTTTTTTCTCAATTTTTTTTCTTGCTAACTTTATCGTAACACCTCCAATTTTTAGTTCTTAATGTTTTTGTTGGCAGTGTTAAAGTGCAACTTTTGTAGCAAACTGTACTGTAGTTAAGCCGTTTAAGTATAGTTGTATATGCGGCACGGCAAGCAGTGCAATCAGCTCAATCAGGTATGTCAAGCAGTCCAAAGCCTGCAACCAGAATGCCAGGCAGTTCACACCTCGTGCCAGCCTGTACTTATCAAGCAGTTCAGTTCAGTTCATTTGATAAGCAGTTCAAACTTTTGCTACCAACTGTACTTGTCTAGCAGTTCATATTTGTGTAGCTTTTGTCGCAACTGTACGTTCTCTTAGCATTTTCAAACATCAATCATTGAGCATTTCATTTATATAACTAACATACATTATTTATATAATTCATATATATGTATGTAAACATTTATGTAATTCGTACAGTTTTATTATTAAGTAGATGAATTTACCAATAGGAAACGAAGATGCAGGCGAATTCTTAACTAAGTTAACAAAAAAAATCTAAAAAGGTTTCTCAAGTAGTTTGTCATGTTGAAGTGAAAGTCTTTTCTTCAGTGGTTTAAGTACTACGAAATTTTGGGTGTGCGTGGGTGAGTGTATATATAGCATATGCTTGAACTTAATATTAAAACTTATTTATGGCATGTTTAAGTTAGTTAAACTAATATTAGATTTTGTTTTTGTTTTTCTCGTTTTCTTTTCCATCATGTTGTAAGGCATTAATTTAAGTTTCTTAAGCTAAAAATGTGTGTCTGTGTGTGCGTGTGGGTGTGGGTGTGGGTTTTGTTGTGTATATGTGTGTGTGTGTGTTTGAATTGTTCTGCAGTCTGACAAAAGAATTTAAGCTAATTGCAGCGAATGAATATGCTAAGTAGAAGCAACTTGAACGCATAAATGATGTGTGATGAGTGTTATGCAATGTATACAGAGCTTAAAATACTATTCAGATATCGTGTATATATATATATATATTGTATATAGTTAAGACATTTAGTTAAGATAGAACTTATGGAAACTAAACATCAACTCATAGAATCATACAATGAAAAGGTGTTCCCACAGCTTTGGCTTCAGTTTGTCTGGTTTCTTATGTGTGTGTGTGTGGGCTAGACGACAGGTAAATATATATATATATATCTATATATATGCATATATATATAGGTGAGTTATGTGTTGAGTTGCTGCTTCATCTTCTCTATTATTTGTTGTTTTGTTCAATACTTTTCTCTGTTGCAAGTTTTGTGCACTTCATCTCTGTTGTTTCATCCCATTTGCAGCTCGCTTAGACGGCTGAATTTTTGCCAATTATTTCGCCGCTGCGTGAGTGCACGAAACGTCCATCGAATTCAATGGTTGAATTCTGTTTCAAGCTGCCAGTGGGCGTGCGCAAAGGCTCCTTTTCGTCCCTGTGAATGCGTAAAGACTGCGATTAGTACTAGACATAGGCAAAGGATCAAAAGAGAAAGAAAGAAAGAGAGAGAAAGAAAGCAATGCAGCTGCACTGGCTAGAGCAAGCCAAAGCTGTTAGCTATGCACGCAAGCAAGGTAGCTGCTAAAGCTTGCTGTCAAAAGTTAATTGCTACAACTTAAGCTAAATACAATAGCAACAAAGCTGTCTAAGGCAAGGCGCGCAATGCTTGACAGCCGTAGACAGACAAAAAGATAAATGATACAACTAAAGCTAAAGAGAAAGGAGAGGCTGTCTTAAGCAAGACTTGCAATGCGCGCAGACAAAAAGCTAACTGCTACAAGCCACAAGCTAGGCAATGCAATAGGCAAGGCTCGCTAGACTTAGCAGCTGCAGACAGACAAAAAGCTCATTGCTACAACTTAAGGCTTACAGACAAAAAGCTACATGCCTACAGCAATATACAGTGCATCTATGAATAGGTACGATAAAAGCATGTGATGAACAGTGTTGGAAAACGAAAATCATAGAGATGTGTGTGAGCGATAGAGCGAGAGGCATATAGAGAGCTAGGCAAAACAAAAAGGCAAAATACGATGAATGTACGTACAATTGAGATGTCACTGGTGAGCCGCCGAGCTTAACTGGCGGCGGCAGTGGCAACGGTGATGGCGGCGGCTCCTTAACCAGCTGTCCACTGCAATAAGGTAGCGGGAAACGCCAACCATAAAGACTGCTTGGTTAGATGTTGATAATTTGGATGGTTTTGGTATTTTTTGGTTCATTTTTTTTTTAATTTGGATTTTGTCGTTTGGTTGTTTTTTTTTTTTTTTTGTGTTGGATGATTGGAACAGTACGTATGAGGTTGATGAAATCAAGAGAGAGAGAGTATAGATTGTATGGAGAGAGTTCGGTAAATTGTGGCAATGTTAAAGGTATTTAAGTATTTTCTCTTATGACTGTCTCTGTGTGTGTGTGTGTTTGTGAGATGAGTACAAATAAACGATGATATTAAGTGTGTATAAAGAAGACAATAATTGAAACTAGATAAACACGTTGTCTAGATGCAGCCAGCAACGTTTAACTAACTAGAGAGATCTATATATATCTGTGTGTGTGTGTGTGTGTGCCATATACCATGAAACAGACAAGGCACTATGAGTCGAAGAGAACGTTTTTTGTAACATTTACATTGAGCAACGTCTAAGACCAGGTAGCTGCCTGCGTGAGACTAAGTCTAAGCTAAACTACCTTAAACATATGGCTTTCTAATCTTAGTTAAAACAACTGTGAACTCTAAAGAAAACGTGCTGAATTTAAGCAGTCAGTGCAAGGGCTAGAGTAGGAGCTGGAGCTACAGCTAGAGCTAGAGCTGGAGATAGATCTATAGCTAGAGCTAACAAATGCTAGAATAGAAATATTTGAATAAGTTCAAATTACAATGTATTAAAGCATTGGAAGATCCACAGCTCATTCATCTGAGCATAGATCGGTTCAGGTGATGGAACTCTTCAGTTCATCTAGAGATCATTGCATGAATATTTCCTCTTATATAACGGTTTGGGAATTGCTTCTCTGAACTAACTTCTGTTCCATATCTTCTAAATGGGCTGTCAAGCAGGGCTAGATAATCTATGCTCAATCTATAAATTATAAACAATATTTATATTATATATATTTAGCTCTAGATCGATCTCTAAGTGATTCTAAGGCCTCTAAGACTTGAGCATATAGAGTTTATTTCTTCTTCTAGTTGCCATGCCCACAAATGGGCGTGTCATAAAGTCAGAGATACAAATATATCAATGCTTAGCTCGATATATATATCAGGTATATATATCGAATTTTGTAGTCTCTAGACTGAATACTATCTGGTAATTCTCGATTTGCCATGCTGCTACTATATCATTTGAAGTTGATCCCTAGCTAAAAATATAGCGAATGTGCTTTGTCCAACTGAGATTAACTAGATTTATAGACTGCATTCCTTAGAGTGTCATAGCAGGCAGCTTTTGCATGTTGGCAGTGGAAGGTGTGGAAATGAACGACTAAAAGCAAAGATATATTATCTATGTCTATATATATATATGCATATATATGTATATAACTAGCATACACACACACATGGGGAACATATAAGGCAACAGTGTTGGCTAACAACGTAAGGAAAATAGTGTTTAAAGGAAACTATATAAACAGAGATAGCAGTTCGTGTGTGGGTAAAAAGAAATTGAAAAGATAACGGTACATTTTGTCTGTTTCATGTGTGAATCGTAAACATAATATAATATTGCACTAGAAATGAAGAACTGAAGAGCGGGAAAACTGAAGCAGAAGAAAGGGAAATGTGAAAAGTTTTTTCATAATTTTATTTTGAATTTGCAATTTTAATTTAGTTTTCAATTTTCAATTTTCAATTTTTAGTTTTCAATTTTTTCGATTCGTTTAGTTTTCACTTTGTTCAGACGAATATTAGGGAATTTCGATTGAACAAAAGCGACTTAGGACGCGCATAGACCCAATTGTATTCGAAATCCGGACGTTGAGAGTTTTGGCTTTTCGAAAGTAGGCAAAAGGAATACGAAAAAAAACAACGAGAAATAGGGAAAAATGAAGAAAGATTTTTTGCTGTTTTCGTTTTTGTTTTTTGCTGATTTTCGTATCATTTCTGGTGCAATATTATCGTAGCATCAGCTAGACTCTACATACTCTATCTATTGAGCTAGTCAACTCACCTGCCCAGCTTGGCCTCGTCGTCGATTTCCGAGGGCGAGCGCTTGGCCTTGCGGCACATCGCTGCCATGACGCCCATGTGTACCGTTACACAGCATAGCAGATCCACAACGAACAGCAGCAGGAGGACGCCGCCTACGGCAATGCCCACGATGGCAGCTGACGAGAGCACCTGGCGTTCGGCTACCTGAATGACGTCGATGCCTGTGGGCAAAAGGGAGCGAAGTTTGCGATTGTGTGTGTGAGTGGGTGTGTGTGTGTGAGAGAGAGTGTGTGTGGGAATGTAAAGTGCTTGGATTAGTATTGTTTTGTCATTCGAGTCTTGCAAGAGAGATGATCTCTATAGATCGTATATTATATATAGTATATAGTGGTATATTTTAAATACTAGAAACTTAAAGAATATTGTATATATAGTATATATAGTAAGCATACGTGAACTATATGGAGTGTGTGTTATTCCAGGGTATCTCAATTGACACAGCGAGCCAAGAGCCAAAAACTAACTCGTGTTTCATCTGACTTTCTTTCAGTAATTTAATTATTTTTTTGTTTTTTAAATTTTGTTTAATATTTTATATTTTTCTGATATCTATATATATATATATAAACATATATACATATATAAATATTTCGTAATTATACTTCGATAACAGAAAAAATTAATTGAGTTTTGTATTTTAATTTTTTTCTCGGCATTTTTCAGTATTTTTCAGTTTTTTTTTGATTTTACATACATATATTTTACATTTTTGTGTGTGTATTTGAAAAAAAAATATTTAAAATAAACTTAAGCATTTTCCATTAACAGAAATTAAAATAAACATAAAAATTAAAAAATTTCACAAAACATTAAAATTTAAATTAATTTTGTTAAAAAAAAGAAAATTTAAATTTGTGTATAAAAAATAAAAAAACATGCAGCTTTAAATGGGACAGGTTTGAGAGAGAGACAAGGGGAGAGACAGAGAGAGTTAGAGACAGTTAGAGTGAGATAGCAAGATAGTGAGATAGAGAGAGAGAGCGTGAGGAAGCGCATGATGAGGAGGCTGCAAAGAAAAACTGAAGCCGTTGAAGCAAGGATAAGACATGAAATGCCAATAAGCCAAAAAGAAAAGAAGAAGAAAAATAGGAAGAAGCAGAAGATGAAGAAATATACAAGCAAAAGCAATTGTTTTTACAATTTTTACAAGTAAGACGTGTGTGTGTGTGTGTGTTTGTATGTAGAACGATAACGATAACGATTGTTAAGCTGCTTTGATTAGTAAAGAGAAAACAAGTGTTTTGAAAATATTTAAGAAATTTTGTAATTTAAATTTATATATATATATATATATATATATATATATATAAATATATATATATATATATATATATATATATATATATATATATATATATGTACGTGTGTATACCCATCTAATTTAGTTAGCTACAAAGAAAATTGATTGTTTTTATTTGTCTAGTTTTTGATTAGTAACAAAATAATTTGAATGCGTTTGGAGCTGATGCCGTTTGTTAGTCGTTTGTTAAATTAGAATCGAATGCGTTTTTATCGTGTTATTGAAAATCGATTAATTGAATACATAAAAAAATATATGCATATATAGAAAGATATATATATATATATGTAGAGAGAGAGAGAGAGAAAGCTATTATTAGTTGTGATTAATATGTATTTAACGAGCTAAAGTTGTTGCATAACCATATTACCTGTCGGCATTGGACTGCGCTGCACAGCCGTTGGTCGTACGATACATCGATATTATCGATAACAAGAGCTCTCAAGTTTTTGTTTAAAGTTGTCTTTATTATCCAAAATGAACTTTGTTTAATTCTTTAAGATTTTCGATTTCGATTTCGATTTCGATTTTATTTTATTTTATTTATTTTTTATCGACTGCTTACAACATTTATATGACACTTTTTTCTACTGCTTGGCGTGAGTGTGTGTGAGTTGTGTGTGTGTCTGTGTGTGGGAGAGCAGCTAAAGAACTGTCTCAATGATCATATAATACTCAAGTTTAGTAGCATTAAAATTTAACTGCTTGACTGACTGACTGCCTGACATTTAGCTGAAAGTTATAAAACATTTATGTACAGTTGGACAATAGCTAGCTAACTGCTTGATCAACTGCGTGCTTCTCCAATACAAAGCTACGACAAGAAAAAAAAACAAAAAAACATGCCCCGATATAAATTACGATACGATCTGCTCAGCAACGTTAGGCGGGCTGAATTATTCACTAACTATAGTAGATATACTATATATATATATATATCTATATATATATATATATTGATATATAACTTTTGTATATTGTAAAGTTATAAATTGGAAATATGTTTCACGATATATATATATAAATATATATATCAATATTTGGCTAGAAAAAGTTTTGGTTTACTTTGACTAAAAATTGTATACAAGGAATATTTTTACTAAATTGAACTGGTTTTCGTCTTTTTTTTTTACTAGTTTTCATAGTTTTCATAGTTATAGATATACATCTATATATATGTATATGTATATGTATATGGTTTATAAACCTTAAATTTCATTGAGCACAAACATTTACATTAAGCTAAATACACCATGTGAAAAAAATTCGTAGTTGGAAACATGTGTTAGTATTTTTTTTGTGGGGGTTTTATTTATGCTTAAATACTCAGATTAGCCCTCAATATGGGATTACCTAAAGTTCTTAGTTATTTTTTATTAATTTATATATTTTTTCTTTTATTTTCAGTTACTTATTGTCCCCTAAACGTATACGTTCAATAGAGAAAAAGAAAACTCAGATTGAAACTACCCGAAACAAAAACTGGAACAACTTGGGCTTCAAATACTTATAACACGGTGGTGTGGTCTCTTCTTCTTCCTCATCATCTTCATCTTCATCTTCTTTTTGAGCTAAACACAAAGGAAGCCTAACGTTTTGGCTATATATATAAAAATTGAAAACTTTTCTATATACAGCTCCGTTCATTAAAATAGTAGTGCGACTGGAAACAACAAAATTTAGAGATAAACGTAATATTTTGAAAAGAATTTGAGAAGAATATTGAGATTCATATTTCTTTTTATTTTATTTTATTTATTTTATTTTATTTTTATTTATTTATTTTTAGCGGAAAAAGTACCGTTTCACTTGGTGTAGCACTACTATTTTTATGAACAAAAGTGTATACTCGATATATGTATAACTATGAGAGAATTTGGTTGTCTCTATATATTATAGACCTAATGCTCTCGGAAAAAACGAGTGTACGAATTGATAACAATAATTGCTTTTGATTGGCAGTGCTTTTAACCGCATGGCTTTTGGTATTTTCTGGTATTTTGGTAAATAACGAACAGAATTGAAACTCTAAGTACACCTAGAATTTGGTAAGCGGTTCGATTTGGCTAAGTACATGTATGTCTAGGGTGACCAAATAAGAGCTATACGAAAAAAAGGGCTGAACAATTCGCTAAATATATATGCTCCTTTCTCCAAATAGGACCCTTAGACGACTTAGTGGGACTTTTCCCAATCAAATGGTAAATCTTCTAGTCTATTTTAACAACTCACTTGTATCGATAGCATAAGCAGCTGCTGTAATATAGTTATCGGTAAGACTCCTATCGCTCTTATTTGGACACCCCATATGTGGCTATGCTTAAGTGTTGATATTTGCTTTCATTGTATTTTTTTGTATTTTTTTGGCATTTAGCAATTTTTTTGTACATTGAATGGAATCATCGTAGTGTCTAGAGCGCAGTTATCTTTGTAACATCCTAGTGATAAGTATGTAGTTCTCGTATGCTGTTGCTACTGTAGCTTAATATGTATGTATGTTTCGGTATGTGTGTGTATTTGTTGTTATGTATTTATGTATAATTCATATTTGGTATTTTTTGTTGTTTGGTATTTTCGTTTGCTTATTATTTATATACAATTGTCGATAGATTAGAAAAAAAAACACGTTTAGCAGGCTTCAAAGCAACATCAGATCCGCGCATGCACTGCTTGCTGCACTGCTTAGGCAGTGTGCAGCGACATCGAGAGCAGCAGCAGCAGGGCCAGCGGCAGCATTGGCATCGCCCGTTGTAAAGCAGTTTGTTTGGCAAGCAGTCGATTCGTGGCGCTGCTTGATGAGTACGGATAGGGTTTGTCTGTGGCGGGATAAGGGCGCACGGGCATGGGCATAGGTACAGGTACAGGTATAGGTACAGGTACATTTATATTTGATTTGATTTGATTTTTTTTGTTTTTGTTAAGCATTCGATTTGTTTTTTTTTTTTTTTGGTATATATCACACAGCGTAAAAGAGAGAAAAAAAACAAAGAAAAGTAGTAGAAGAAAAATAGGAAGAAAAGGAAACACACAAAAGAAGTTTTTTTGGTTGGTTTTCTTTCATTGCTTTGATTGCGTTTTAAATAAGTTCAAGAGACGACGACGACGATCAAAAAGACGCTCAAACATAATGTGAGTGTGTGTGTGTCTAATATATATATATATATGCGAGTGTGTGTGTGTGTGTTTGTATAAGTATTAGAGATTAGTGGGTGTATTTGTTTTGGCACTGCTTTGCTTACAGTTTGACAGCTACGCTCAAAGTGTCATTGGTATTAGTGGATTAAATGTAGTTAATATATATATATGTATATATATATATATGTATATATGTATGTGTATATATAAGGGCAGACATTAAATTTTAGTTCGTTTTAGACATAATTAGTATAAGTTAGATAAGTTATTTATATTAAATTAGAATATGTAATATAGAGCATGAATATGATGATGCAAAGTGAAATGAGTAAGAGAGCGAAAGAGAGAGCTGTATTACATGTGGACACACACACGCACACGCACACACACATACGATGATTAGCAAAAACTAACGATAGTTCGCTTGCGTATATGAAATACTAGAGTTCGCCAATACAAATCAATCGATCGTTAGTTCTATCGATAGTTTTGCCAACTAAACACGACAAGCAGCTAAATATATATGTATAAACTACGAATAGTGTTGGTAAACGATGAAAGAGCAAGGCACACACACACGCAACGTGTAGAACAGAGAACAAAGTGAAAAAGAGACAGAGACAGGTAGACAAACATAACACACAGGTGCTTAATGAATGTTTTTTAAAAAAAGATATATTTATGTAGAAAAAAAAAGAAACGGTTGCAATTTTTTTTTTTTTTTTCTATTTTTATTTATTAATTAATATTTTTGTTTTCATCTTAGTTGCTTAATACAAAATTTAACTAAAGAAACTGTCGCAGTACATACAAAAAATAGGGCAGAAAAAAGTGGTTAAAATCAAAAATCGATGAAGCAAAACTAAGGAAGTTAAACGATATAAATATGCAGATATATATTTGTTTATAAACATATATATATTTAGAGTTTTATTACAATTATCGTTTCAAAATATATTTATTAAAAATTAGTTATTACAAAAATATGAATTGGAAACTTGAAGAGCTTTTGTGATTAATGCACACACACAAAAATATAAGAAAGAATAATTAATTCAACTAAATTATGAGAGAAAAACATTAAAAACTTCATTTTAATTTTTTTCCATTTTTTTCCATATATTTTTTATTTTTATAATTAATAATTAAGTAAATGCTTATGAATTGTAGTTGAAAACACAAAAAATTCAGTTCACACAAGTATTATAATAAAAAAAAAACATATATGAATAACGGTACACAAAGGAGTTGGGAGCATGTATGGGAGAGAGCGAGAGAGAGAGAGAGAGAGCGCGCAGAGCTCACAACACAATTTGACGTTGGGACTTGAACAAAATTGAATTCTGTGATGTTTCATATGTGTGTGTGTGTGAGTGTGAGTGATTGTGTGTGTGTATGTGTGAGTGTATGAGCGGGACAACACTTGTGAGAAATGTTGAGCAAATATTTACTTTGCATACTTTGCTTGACTCTTAGCTCAGTGTAGAAAGAAAAGAAAAAAAGGCAAATAAAACTGAGAACAGTGTTGTAAAGCGCCAGTTGAAATTCTGCAGTGAACTTGTGCCACGGACATAGTTCACATAGTATTTATGCTATTTTTTATCTTCATACTCTGGAATGTCAATTTAAGGAGTGGGCGGGGACTGTGGGCGGCTGGGCGTGGCACAGAAATTAGCTTTAGTTTTTAGATTAGCACAAAAAGAGCATGCAAAAGGTTCACAACGAAATGGAACGAAAAAAAAGTAGGAAAAAAACAACTTTAAATTACACTGTAACAAATAACTGGGATACTTGCAGAGTGTCGATAAAAATTAAAAGACAGGGAGAGAGAGAGAGCAGAGTGAGCAAAGAAAATATTTTGTTTTTGATATTTTTTACACTGAACTAAAAACAAAAACAATAAGAAAAGAAGGATAAGAAATATACACTACAAAAAAAATTGTATGCAAAAGTTATTGTACTCGCTATTTGTATAATGTATGTTGTATAAATATATATGATATACATGATATATATATATATATATTGGAAACGTTCAAAAATAGTTCAATATATATATATATATATATATATATATATATATATATATATATATATATATATATATATATATATATATATATATATATATATATATATATATATATATATATATATATATATATATCGATAAATATATATAATTTTAGGTATATTTATATATATATGTATATATATAGATAGTATGCATGTATATTCAAGAATTTGTGTAAGTATTTTTGCTGATTTCGATTTTTTTTTGCTTTTTACTCAAAGGTTTTCGCTATCGATAACGAGTGATTGATAAGGCTATCGTTATAGATTTAAGGTTATAATTGATTGATTTTTACAGATACTAAAAGTTCTTTTTATCGATAATGATTTATCGATTTAAGGCAGGCATCGATTTTGCTGTCTTTCGATTTATATCAAATGCTCGCAGTTTCGATAACAAGTGATCGATAATGATATCAATTTGGTTTTCATTTGTGCTTCGCTATCGATAACACTATTATTATAGATTTTACTTATAGCTATCAAATGTTATCGCTATCGATAACTTGTGATCGATAACGCTATCATGATCGATTTAAGGCTTTATTCATTTTAGTTTCGTACGTTTTCCGAAAGTTATCAAAAGTGCTCGCTATCGATAACGCATGGTCGATAACGCTACCGTTATCGACTTAAGGCTAAGGTTTTTTGTTTTTGTTCTTGTTATTCTCGATAGATATTCAATTAGATTTAATGCAAATGGTTTATGATCAAGTTAAGCTAAACGAAATCGAAGCGATTTATCGATATACACATTGATCGCTTCGATTTGCCTTCGCTTTAGGCTAACATGGTGGTTAGGACACTAAGTAAGGTAATGCTGATTGTTGTGGCCAGCGCAATGATTGTTGTTGTTGTTGTTGCTGTTGTTGTTGATGTTGTTGCTGTTCTTGTTGTTGTGATTGTGAGTTGTTTGTGTAGCGAACTGACGCCAGAATTGAAACCAGCCGAATAGAGCAAGGTGCCCAGATTGTTATTAGCTGAATCGGACTCACCTCGTGTCGTTTTCATAATAATCGATGCCGGCGACGAATAGCCAATGGCATTGTGCGCCTTCAGCTCGATGCGATAATAGGTATTGCCACTTAGGTCGGTCATCTGGAACGACGTGGTCTCAGACACCTCGATCATGTTGCAGCGGTCCTCTAGCTCATGCCAGGTGCCAGCCATCTTAACGCCCTACAAATCGATATCACAGATAATTGCAATCGAGTTTCGATTGGCCTATTCGCTTTACTTACCGGACAGTACTTGATCTGGTAGAGATCGATGGGCTCACCGTTGTCGGCGGGCACACCCCAGCGTAGCTCGAAGTGATCGGAATAGGGCGACACAACAACCGGCTCCTCCTTATCATTCTGCACGGGGCTATGCAAGGGCTTGGGCTCTTCGGGTGCCGAGCGACGCGGCGTCGACTGTTGCTGATTGACGCCCCAGTTGCCCAGGCCGACCTGGTTGCGGGCCGCAAACCGGAAGCTGTACATTGTCTGTGGACGCAGGCCCTCAACGATATAGGGTGAGTCGGGCGACCAGCTGCGGTTCAGAGCCGTCGACCAGTCCGGATTGTTCACCTCCTTGTACTGCACACTGAACGCGAGTATGGGCAAGCCCAGCTCTGTGGCCGGACCACGGATATCAAAGGTCATTGTCGTAGCCGTCAGTTGACGAGGGACAGCAGCTGCCACAAAGTCGGGAACACGCGCCTCCTTCAGCTGCATGTCGTGCTCGGCGGTGCCATGGATATTGGTTGCAATGCACTTGTAGGCCGAATAGTATTGACGGGTTACCGGATGTACGATGAGATCGCTGCGTGGTCCGGTGCCCTCGATTTTCAAATTCGTATCGTACAGGTCCTTGACGTTGCGTCCGTTCCAGCGCCATTCGATGGTGGCGTTCGGTATGCCCATGGCCAGGCAGCTCAGATTGGCAATACGCTGCTCCCAGCTAAACACAGGCGGCAGCTCCTTCATGTGCGTGAAATCGGGTGGGAACTCGACGGCAATGTGACCCGTCTTATAGGCCGTGTCGCCCTTGTTGCTCGCAATGCACTGGTAGAGGCCATCGTCGGTGCGTTGGGAGCGGGCTATGCGCAGTGTGCCCGTGCTCTCGCCGCGCTCCTCATCGAAATATTGCTCGAGCGTGATGCGCTCGTCGTCCAGTTGTATGCCGGGCGTGTACTGCTGCTCGGTGCCCCAGCGACGGAAGCTGATGGCCGGAGCGGGACGTCCCTTGGAGCGGCAAGTGATGGCAATTTCCTTGCCACTGACACCCGTCACATTGTACAGCTCATAGACGGAGGGGCGCACGAGGACATTCAGTTTGGTCTTCTGATCAACAACGCCAGCGCCGTTCCTGGCTATGCAGGTGTATGTGTCGTAATCCTCCTGGGTAACCGAGCTGATGGTCAGCAGACCCGTCTGCGCGTTCACCTTGAAGCGATCTGCCGTGGCCACATTCAGCTGCACCGATTGCTTGATCCAGCTTATTTCCGGCACGGGCTTGCCAATGGCCGTACAATTGGCAGCGAACGGCTTACCCTCGACAGCTTCCAGCTGGGCTGGCAGATGGGTTATCACCGGTGCAATGTAGACCTCGACGCGTATGGTACGCTCCAGTAGTTCACCCGTCTCAATGACTGCGGCACGGCAAGTGTAGATGCCATCATCGGTTTCGGCCACATCGCGTATCAACAAGCCATGAGTCTGCACCACGTGCTTGGCATCAGTGCGTATCTGTGGGGGGTTGTGTGGGGGAGGTAATTATAAGATGAGCTGCAAGACGAGCTGTCGCTTCATTCACTTACCGGATCGCCATTGCGCAGCCAGTCAATGGTGGGGTTGGGATCGGCTTTCACCTCACACTTGACCACATAATCAGAGCCGAGTATTGGAAATTGATTCTCTGGCGCATTTGTCCAGGTAATGGCCACTGCAAAGAAAAGTCGAGATGTCAGAAAAGCTGCTCCAACGTGGCGTATACGTAATACAATTTTAAACAAACTGTTGAAGGCACAGGGAAAAGCAGCAAACCCAAAGCAGCAAAAGCCAAATCTTTGATATGTGCTCGTATTTGTTAGCCTGGCATTCAACTAAACCAAAACATGACCCAGACCAACAACAAGTTTTTGCCGCAACCCAGCGGCTCTTGCGCTCGAAGGGTCACTAACGAGCCGGACGAATGCGACGATGTCGGAGGACGTCGCTTGTCGTCGTGGCATGCCAATAAATCTCAGTGGCAGCAGCAGTAGCAGCACAAATTGAAAAAAAATTGCTAACTGAAATTCCTAAATCAAATACTTGAGCACAAACACAGCAGCTCGGAGCTCACAGCTTGCAGCTCGCAGCTCGCAGCTCGCAACGCGCAGCTCGGACATTCAGCCAGCAAATCGAAGCTGAGGCAGCCAAGTTAAGGCGCAAAGTAAAATATTTTTATAGAACCAACTGTTTAATATCCGTACAGTAGCTCTACGTTGGCACTTGCATGTGGGCCACGTTGAGCGCCAGCGAAAAGGGGGGCCAAGGGCTGTGCATGGCGCGCTTCAGGTGCAGTTTTATTGGCACAGTTCGGTGACTTCATGCGATTCATTTGGCTTAATGATAGCAATGTGAGTTTTTACCATTGAAATCGCCTTGCCCTAAACAGCCATAAATATTGACAAATTGCTTTTAGCACAAATTGTAGAGGATTTTCAAGTTGTCTTTAGCGAGATTCTCGAATCTTTCTCAAGCTTGCTTCAACCATCAACATATTCTCAGTTAGAAGCTTTTAAGCCTGCAAGCTCTTGATAAATGGCTTGAAAATACTCGAAAAATAGCTCAATTCAACTTAACTGTACTTGATTTGAGATCATGCAAGCAGTGCAGTTCCGTGACTCTCGCTCAAGCAGTTCAAAGAGGAGAAATAGGACGTGGGAGAGTAGCAAAGTGAGGAAGCACAGAAGTAACTGAGAAGAAAACTAGGAATTTCGTGTGAGGTTGGCTCAGTCTAAGCGTAGTCCTAATCCGTATAATCCATACTGCAACTAGGCCTACAGCATTAGTCTCTGGCTGTCTATCAATCAAGCAATCCTCCTTCAAAATCTTACAAATTTCAGCTAAATGTATTTAATATTCCACTTTCAAGTCACGTAGTTGGCGTAGCTTATGGCAGTGCTCCACATATATCTGTATATCTTTCCGTTTCCAACTCGCTGACTGTTGTCACAGTTTGGCTGATTGTTTTATTTTGCTGTTTACTCCCCAAATGGCTGCGGTTACCGAAACCCAAACAGAAATCCAATTGCTGCTGTCTGATTTTTAATAACTTGCTGCAGTTTCAATTTTTTATAGAGATTACTTATATCTCTCTCTCTCTCTCTCTCTCTTGCGTTCTCTATATATATATAGATATATTTGGGTGGAGCAACTTTTTCAATAAGTTGCGAGTCGATGCCGGTGTTTGGCTCGTGTCCTTTGGCCTGCGCCCTGACGTTGTCCTTGTCGCTGTTCAAACTAATAATGAAATCGTAAACTAGTTCATCTTTTTGCTTATTTTCCTTTGCTGTGTGCCTCGTTGTTGTTGTTTGTCAGACGTCAGCGAAAAGTGTTTGCACAACAAAATCTCACACGCAGCGACAATGCTGACAACAACAACAACAGCAGCAGCAGCGTTGAGTAGAAAGCAGCTGCAGTTTGTTTGCCTTTGGCTTCAGCTCTGAGTCAGGCTAAAGAAAATTTTCAGACAGCAACTTTTATTTATTTTATGTGTTGCACACACACACACACACACACACACATGAGGCATGCCAATAAAATTGGGAAATGGAAAAATGTTTTTAACACAACTTCCCGTTTGGCTTTGGCTATAAAAATCCGAAAAGGCCGGACAGCAGGATTTGGCTTCCAGAAAGACCTTTTGCACCCACTGCACTTGCTGCTCTCTCTCTCTCTCTCTCTCTCTCTGTGTGTGTTTGCAGTGTGCATTGTTTGACAGTCAACAGACAGCTGAGTTAGATAGACAGATGGCTTGTTATTACACTGATTTATAAATAAACTGTAAATATTTGAGCTCTACACACACACACCCACACACAGTTAGCCCTTCTCACAGCATCCTCTTTCTGCTCTTGTTGCGCTTTGCTCTGCGGCCGCAAAGTGATCTGCACAATTTCCGCTCAGGAAATAAGGCAAAACTTCTGTAACATTCCACTCCATCAACAAGCCGCCCCCTCCTTAGCCTCCGCAGCCACTTGAGCTACCTCTAGCTATATATTTTATATTTCTCTTATTTTTCTCACTTAGCAGCAGCTGTCATGGAAATATAGCTAAAACCCTTATTAAAGAAAAAACCTAAGCAACTTCGCTCGCAATTTGTTTGACATTTTTCTTTGGCTTTTTTTTAAATTTTTTATATATTTAAAATTTAAAAAAATATAAATTGACATATTAGATATTTTTTTAAATTTGAATGAATTTCATATGATTTTCTTAAGTTATTTAATATTTTTTAATACCAAAACATTTTTCATGAATATTTAATTTTGTTTCATTTTAAAAAATTATTATTTAAACATATGATTTTTTAAATATTTAATATATACAAAAATTAATAAATAAAATTTTTAAAAATTTTTCAAAATTTTAAAAATAATAAATAATTTTTTACTATAAAATTTCCACTCATAAAAAAGTCAAAATGGAGCTAAGCTAAATTTTAGAAATTTATTCGCTTTATCATCTGAAAAAAACATGAAAGAAAACTTCAAACTTTTAATCTGAAGTTAGCTATAAAATTCCGAATAGTTTCAGGTTTTACTTAAGGCTAAGCTATGTCTAGGTAAAGTATAAATACATAGCATCAATTGAGCTCAAATGCTCAGCTTAAAATTTCTAAAAACTTTAGGACTGACTAAAAATTTGTATGAGAATTTCAAGAGTTTTCTCAGTTCTTAATTAAATGTTGATAAATATCTTAAAAATATCTCTGAAACTGGCCTTAAGCCTTGTGTAATCCCAGCTGTTAGCTGAGAGTACCCAACTCTGCACTGCAGTAGGCTAGCAAGAGATTTATGTAGTTTGAATTTGGTATAAAAGGCTTAAATTCGACTCGGCCTGAGCAGTTTTTCAATTAGTTCACTTGACAGTTGCGGCCGGGCCAATGGAAATCGGCTTAAACTCTTACTCAATGCAATAAAATTTCAAATATTTATGATGTGAGCTCAGACCCGAAAATGAATGAACTGAACTCGCTATCAATGCCTTTCATTAGCACATCAGATTTTTGTCACATTTTACAGTATTTAATGGCATTTGCGAACCTTAAACAGAGAGAGAGAGAGAGAGAGAGACAGGCAGAGAGGGAGGGAGAGTGAGAGCTGCGCTGGATGTGTGTCGGGTCCAGTGTGAAACTTGAGCGCACTTTTGGCAACATCGGAAGTTGCCATTGCAACGGAAGTTTGCTTGCAGCATATGCATTTATTAAAAGCATAAATATTGAAATATTAAGCTCTGAGTGCCACAAACAACAACAGCAGCAGCAGCAGCAGCAGCAGCAGCAACAGCAGCAGCAGCAGCAGTCTCCATGTGTGTAAATAGTCGAACGGCACCTACAGCTGCTAGTTGCAAGTACTTGTCCAGAAGAAGAGGAAGAAGCAGAAGTAGAACTACGGCAACTTCAACATCTATTCGCAATTTGCACTTCTCTCTCTATTCCTTTCCTTCGCTCCCTCTCTCCCTCACTATTTGCTTAGCTAAATGCAACTTTTGAGCTGTCAACATACAATGACAGCAGCACCCACTCAAGGCCCACCCACACACACACACACACTCACACTCACACTCACACTCGTTATCGAGCTGAGTTTTATATATAATTGCGTATTTAACAACACTGTCCTGTTATAAACGAATATATCTTAATGTAGAATCGGGACATTTGAAGTTTTTCCGACAGTTTAACAAAGTTTCGCATAGCCAAGGGCATTCTTATGGTCGTTTACCAACACTGTTGCATTTGACAGCACTGCTTAGTGTTGCTTGAGCGTAAATAAAGCACATTTCTAGCATTAAGTTGAAGTTATTTGGCTTAACAACACTATAAATGAAGCTACTAGACACTTACCAACACTGGTAAAGGGTTAAGTTTACCAACATTGTGGAATGCTGCTTTAAAGTAAATGGCAACTGTCTAGCACTAAGTTTAACTAGTTTTTGCGCTTTCCAATACTGTGAATTGATTTAATTAATCCCAGCATTTACCAACACTGCTTTTGTTTTTCTAATTTAATGATATCTTTGCATATGACAAGCTAAGCAAACAATAAAAATTTGTTTTTCTTTACAAACACAATTGCAATATTAACAAACACTGTTTGCCCGTAAGGCGTTTACCAACACTATTTCAACTCTGACAAAAGTTATAGCGCTTTAAAGTGCATTACACCAGTTATCGTCGGCGTCGCCGTCGCCATCGTTTACTTAGCCTTAACTGCCTTAACTGTTTGGCATTGCTCAACACTGTGTATTGTCTTGTTTTGACTCCACTCGTCCGGCGCTTCGACCCGGGCCGAGACTCAAGTACAAACAATGGCCAAAACAAACAAAATGCGGACCCTGGCTATCCAGTTGGGTCAAATCGCAGCCGTCTTCTGTTTGTGTGAAAACAACGTTTAACAACACTGGCTTGGCTTCACTTGGCTTGCCTTGACTTGGCTGCCTGCCTGCCTGCCTCGAATTCTTGCGTATCAAAATATTTGATTTCATTTCAAACGCATTGCATATAGTACGAATGAACTAGCTACTGGTCTAAACGTAACGCCCAGGCTATTGGGAACTCTAGCTAGTAAATTCCTTACATGTTCAAGAGAGAGAGAGATGGAGAGGGAGAGGGGGAGAGGGAGAGGGAGAGGGAGAGGCAGCTTTGTTGACGTTCTGTTTGAACAATCGATGTCGGTTCCTGTCGAAGCGTTAAAAGTTGCGGCTGGGGGATTGAGATGGGGGTTTAGGGTTGGGTGCTTGGGGGATAAGTTGAACTGGTTCGTGTGCACTTTAAATTGCTTAGAAAAATCAATTTCGTCAAAGTTTTTCAGGCAAGAGCTGCTAGCGACGCCAATGCCACTTATGCGCACTTTTCTAAAGCTTCGCCAGCAAAGTTAACGAGCCAGCAAACTGTGTGTGTGTGGCACTTGTTGTGCTTGAGCATTGTTGCTGTTGGTGCTGTTTATTGGTAACGTCTTTGTTTGGACTTTCATCCATTTGAGTTGTAGTTCTTTTGTGCTCGCTCACAATGCATCAATAAAATCGAAATCAAACTAAAATCAACGTGTATTTCCCTCAGCTAAGCAGCGCTCTACACAACTGTACTTGAGCGTCTCCGGCACACGCACGACGAAAAGCTGTTTGCTTTGTGCACTCTATACATGTATATTAAATTCCATTTGCTAGCAAATACTTGATTTGATCAAAGGACTCTCGCCCATTGTTTGTTGTCATTTATGTCATTTCTGAGATGTTGAGAATGTTTCCTTTCTTTTTTTTAGCATGGATTGAGACAGACTTCTCTTCATCAGCTCAGAAACAGAAATTCTGGTTGAAATATGTTGATTAGTGTGGGAGCGAGCAGCTTAGTTCCTGTTGGTATGTGGACAGTGGAATAGAAAAGAGGCATTTAAAAGAGGAAAAGAAAGAGACTGGTAGATATATGTGAGAGGGAGAGAGAGAGAGAGGGAAACAGTGTTGGATTGAGTAGTCTTTGTCTAGAGGTAAAGGATAACAGCGCCTTGAGCGGTCTCTACTGCTGCTACTGATTGGTTCAATTAGAGTTAAGCCACACTTGCATACCTGCACAGGTGGGTGGCCAGGTGCAAAAAAGTATTGCTGCTTACCATAAGTTTTAATCGTGACGCCTTTCTCGAGTATTTCGGTATTAGCATATGAAGCCGTGCAATAATATTTGCCGCCCATCTCGCTGGAGAGCGAGGTAATCATCAGGCCCAAACTTTCGCCGGGCAGCGTCTCCGTGTACATCGGTGGATGGTTGCGACCCGTGCTGTTTGTGTGAGGGCGAGCGAGAGGGAGGGGAGAGAGAGAGAGATAAAAGAAATTGTTTCGTATTATTAGTAGAGCATAATATGAAAGTTGTTGTTGTTGTTGTTGCTTATAATGTGGATGCTTATGATTATAATAATTGTTATGAGCATTGTCGTTGTTAGTAGATTGCGTTTTGTTGCTGTTGCTGTTGCTGTTGCTGTTGCTGTTGCTGTTGGGTTTCATCCTTTGCATCTTTTCTCATTTGCATGCCACGCATTCCATTTCCCACTTTGCTTTTCCTTTTAGTCATAACAATTACAGAAAATTAAAAGAAAATTGCGTTTCGGGGCGTGGCTTCATATATATCCTTTTACTTTTTACTTTTTTTATTCCGGCTCCAGCAACATGGCCCTGAGGCCAGCATCAAAAGTATTTTTTGTTTTTGGGTCGGAATCTTAATATTTGCGCAAATTCTCGCAGAAGTTGCTGCTTTTTATATAGTGGAGAGCTTAAAGCATCTGTGCCCTTTTTTTGTTTAGGACTGGCTGCTGAGCCTGCCGGCTTCGCTCAGCCTAAAGAGCGGGTTGATTCAGCCAGAGTGATGCGCCTATCGATAGCCATATTTCAGCAGCAGCAGCTTACGTTATCGATATCCTACGAGATGTATTCGATAAGACTCTTCAATGTGTGCAAATCATTTTGGAAATTTGGTTTCGATTCTAGCACAGGAAGTCCTAGAAGAGACTAAGATTGGTAAGAAGTGAAGCAACGACTATGGAAGCCGACAGGTGACACTGGCTCAGCTGAATTGGGCAACGCCAAGGAGTCAACTTTGCAGTCGAAGTGAAGGCATCCATTTGAATGCTGTGCTGTTTGAGCTATCATGGCATGGATATAGCTTCAGTATGAAACCAGAGGCAACAGCACAGCTCAAATGGTGGTTGATCTATGGCAATTTCTGCAGGTATCACTCTGATTGGGCCAGTCTGCAGTCTATTGCAGCTATTCATATGCTCAAATCTCTTCATATATGCTCGACAAAGTCAGCTGGCTTTAAGTCGGGCCATTGCTGGCAGACCGTCCATGAATATTTGCAGTTAATGACGACTCTGCAGTCGGAAACTCTGTATGAATTAACAGCATAAACTATTTGCATTCATTTGTACGTTCGATGTCGAAATTTGCGAACTTTGAGCATATCGTATGAAATAATTTGCGCAAATTTCGTAATTACCCTGGCAACCCTGGCCAAATGTGCATGTGCGACAAAACAATTTGCCACACGCGCAGGCGTTGCGCATTAAAAACTTTTCGCCATCTCGTGCGCCATTTGCTATGTTTGCATATGCAGCTCCTCCTCCTCCAGCTCCTGCTCTTTGGATAGAAATTGCCAAAAAAAAAACTATGAAAATACTCGTACATAACCATTGCCTGATGCCAAGTGCCGAATGTCGAGCAACGGCAGGCGGTGGGACGGGGGCGGGGCGTACAAGGCACGTACTAATTAATTAAAAAACTTTTGTTGCGCAAAACTAAATATGCATAGCGGTTATTATTACGGCTTCACTTTGTAAGCCTAGCCAGTAAGCCTTCCACCCCCTTCCCAAAAAAAAAAAATACAAACTCCATCTGAAACATAAAACAGACTGAAAAACTTTCGAGCCAAACGTAAATGAACAAATTTCGGCTATGGCAAAAGTTTTCTCGAACTGAACCAGTCACTGGCCATAGTCAAAAAGGCATAAAGTCTAAATAGTCTAAAGCAGCTAGTAGCGAGTAGCGAGTGAAGTCCAAGTAGCAGCAATTCCTTACATCTATTTGCTCTTTATGCACATTACTGCCTCAAGCCAAAGTGATAATAAGAACTAGTCGAAAGCAGCGAGTAGCTAGAGAGAAGTAACGAGTAGCGAGTAGCGAGTAGCGAGTGCTGTCTAACGAGTGGTAATTCTTGACATCTATTTGTTATTTATGTACAGTACTGCCTCACGCTAGAGATATTAAGAACTAGTCGAAAGCAGCGAGTAGCTAGAGAGATGTAGCGAGTAGCGAGTAGTGAGTGCTGTCGGACGAGTAGTAATTCCTGACATATGATTGCTACATATGAGTACTTATGAAGCTAAAGAACAACTAGTCGAAAGCAGCGAGTAGCTAGAGAGAAGTAACGAGTAGCGAGTAGCGAGTAGCGAGGAGCGAGTAGCGAGTAGCGAGTGCTGTCAAACGAATGGTAATTCTTGACATCTATTTGTTATTTATGTACAGTACTGCCTCACGCTAGAGATATTAAGAACTAGTCGAAAGCAGCGAGTAGCTAGAGAGAAGTAACGAGTAGCGAGTAGCGAGTGCTGTCGGACGAGTGGTAATTCCTGGCATATGATTGCTACATATGAGTACTTATGAAGCTAAAGAGCAACTAGTCGAACGCAGCGAGTAGCGAGTGGGGACCAACGAGAGTCATTGCATTCGTTAAATACGCAGTTTGTGTACAGCTCGTCCAAGTCGAGTGAAGCTCAGTCTAGTATCAATTTTGAATAGACACTTCACTTGCAGCTTATATGAAACTGTAGATATATATATGACAGTAAAAAGGATCCAACTGCTATTAAATTGAAAGCAATTCATATAAAAAGAATAATATAATATAGTTTTATATATATCTCTTTATTTATATATATAAATTTCTTTCATAAACTATAAACAAGAATTTGAAATAGGAAAATATGCGAATCTTTGCTTTGAGGTGCTTAAAAAACTTTTTACTTCAACTTGACTGCAGCTTAACTTTGACTATTGTATTTGCCTTTGACAGAGTGTTTGTGTGTGTGTGTGTGTGTGTGTGTGTGTGTGTGTGTGTGTGTGTGTGTGTGTGTGTGTGTGTGTGTGCTATGGGATTCGTGAGATTGAGCGCAGGCTACGTTCGATTTGCAATTCGCAATTGTTGCCAAAAGATGCAAAGAACCACGCGTTATATGTTTGCCTGACAAAATCACACACACAACACACAATTGCACACACACACACGCACACATAGAGAGAACATGTTCGCAGCGCCGAAAATTATGCTAACAAAAAGTCTTCAGCGACAATGCAAAATAAAAATAAAGTTTTTGTTTTACTTTTGCTTTTTTTTTCGGCAAAGAAAAATTGAAAGAAAATAGAAAAAATGGTGGAAAAAAATGGCAACCGCATCGCAACGGCTCACAACGCACAGCGGAAGACATTGCGGGATAAATTTTGCTGCATATTTGCGTTGGATTTTTAATATTGCGCCAAACGGCGCGCACACAGAGAGAAAAGTGGAGCATAAAAGGGGTCTGGAGGGGGGGTAGGGGCTAGGCTGTCAAGGGGCGGTTGAGCCAAGCAAAGTCAAGGCAAACAAACAAGAGCGAAAAACAGTTACGCATACGTAAAAATCAAATTTTTGATTGTCTCTAGGGGAGTCGAAGGAGCCAGAGAGAGCGACAGGGGCAGAGAGAGGGAAGTTTGTTAGGGGTAGCTGCTGCCAGTTGGGCGCCTTGCGGCAGGCTACGACATTTTTTTATTGCATTTCTTTTGGCTAAGATGCGAATAAAGATGTTATTGTTCTGGCTTGCCTTTCAACTGGCTTCATTTGTTGTTGCCATTGAATGGAGCGAGGGCGGCAGGCAGAGAGGGAGAGAGGGAGACGTCGAAGGGCTGCCAAGTTGTGAAGACGCTTAAAGTCAAGTGCTGCAGTTTGGTCAAAGGACGAACGCTTCAAGCCAACAAAAGATATATAAAATCAGGCACAATTAAGACGCAGCAAAGCGATTGACTCGGCGAACATGACAGAAGAGAGGCACTGACAGAGAGAGAGGGAGAGAGGTAGAGAGAGGGACAGAGAATGGCAACTAAATTCTCAGAGAGAAGTTTTTATTGAATTCAGTTGAAATTTAATATGAGCTATGATTCATTCTGAAGAGCAGCAGAGGCCCAGGCAAGGACGACACTAAAGACAAACAAAGGAGTTTTTCAAGTGTCTAATATCTGATGGGGATTGCAGCTGATTGCGAGTCTGCAAGCACTTTAAGATTTGCTGGACGCTGAGTTCAACCTGAGACAAGCTCAGAGCCAGCAGTCGTTAGGACTCTTTAATGGACACGAAATAGCGAGTATCTTTGAGTTGGGCATGCCCAAGGCCAGATCAGGCTCTCGTTCAGTCTGCCACGGCAAAAATCAGAAGGCCAAGCGACGCTAGGCAGGCGTGGCCTGTTGCCGGCCCCAAAACTCGATGGGCAACTTAATCGCTTTAATTAACTGTAGCTGCAGCCTAACGTCCGGATGGAACGGGGCCAGCGGCCATGGTCAGGGCTGCAACAAGCTAACAATTCGGTGAATCGAACTTGGCAGTAGCAGATGGAATGCTGCAGTTGGATAGTGGAGTGTGTGGCATGGGGCGTGGGGCGTGGGGCGTGGCCCCGGCTAACTCCTTTCTTTTTGGGGGCGCTCAGTTTTGGTAGCTTAATTACATTTTGCGCCTGCAAGTATGCAACGCGTTGTTGGAGCCTGTCGAAAACTTCATTTCGAATCAGCGCAGCGACTCACCCACAGCCGTTGCGTATTGTGTGGGCGTGACATGTGCCATGCGCCCCTGCCCCTTCCGCACAGCGAGCACAAACACAAAGCAATTCGCGCAGCTCTGGCTGAACTGTGGCTGTGTCTGTGTGTGTGTGTGTGTGTGTGTGTGTGTGTGGCAGGCTTTATTTAACAGCCAGCGTTGCCAGAGTTTTTGGTTTTGTTTCATTACAGATTTTCTGTGCGAGCGCCTAAAATGTGCCAATTCCACAGCCCAAAAATTGAAAACTTGCCAAGCTCAATAACAACTCCGCAACGTGTGTGTGTGCGTGCGTGTGTGTGTGTGTGTGCGTCGATTATATGTGTGTTTATTTCTCGGTCAGTCGTAGGTCAGAGCTTGTTGCCCCACAACAACGAACAAATGCGTATGCTGTGGCTCAGCTCTGACAGTTCCTACACTAAGCGAAATGTGGTTTTGGTTTAGGCTTGGGTCTCTATGCTCGTCCAAGCTGCGGCCACGGGGTATATTGGGCGGCGCTCGACAGGCATGCCGCTCCCTCTCTATGAGCTGCAGCAAAGGTTTGCCATTTGCCATGTCAGGAGTTACTTTCTGCAGACGCCCACTAGAGGCGTGGCATATTGTTATAGATACTTTGATAGAGAGTTGGCATTTTATGTATATATACTCAGATCTTTATACTCAGATACAGATCTGAGTATTTATATATCAAGCACCAACAGTAGGCAAATCAAATTTACAGGCGACCTCTCTGGGGGCTATACAAATCGGGCTTACAGCAATATTTTAGCGCTGGAATATTGAACTTTAATACGTAACGGATTTCTATAAATTGATTGAAATTGAAAATGCTTTCTTAATTTAGCTTTAAAGTTCTTAGATCAACAGGTTTCGTCTGCTCGACATATGGACCTCAATAGATCATATTCATTGTATGGAAAATATCAAATTCTGATTAAAATTCAGCTGTTGTGAACGAGTATTAAGCAGTCGATGGCATCCTACTTACTTTTGGGAGTAAAGCTATTTAGGCACAGCTTCACTTTTTCTAGCTGCAGGAACTGAGCTTTTAGCAAATGTTTAGAGAGATCCAGAAGCTTGAAGAGTGTCCAAAGAGCTAAAGAGAGGCTTATGGACGAGTTAAGTAGTAAAACTCGTAATATCCATTTACTAATATTCAATATTAAATTGTTACTTTAGACTGCAAACAAATTTAAACTTAGTTTGCATATTTAAATATCAGATTCAGTTTAATTGCCAGGCAGTAAAGAGAGAGCGAGAGAGAGAGAGAGAGAGAGAGAGAGAGGGGACGAGCGAGATTCGCTCGGAGCTGCCTTTAAAATGCCTCCAGCTCGCTGGTTGTCTGCATTTTTCTATGGCTTGTACCTCGTTGGCCGCCTCGCACCTGCCCCTAGGCAAATTAATTAACACGTTTTCCGTTTTGTGCTCGGCCGAGAGTTCTGGCAGCAGCCCGCAAAAATTGTCTAAAATTTGATTCAAACAATTTGGGCCAGAATCTCTGCCATTCAAATCGCATTTTTGCCATTTTATGATTTTTGCACTGATTGCAAATTTTTCGGCTCTAAGCACACGATCTGGCCGCACACAGACAGCGTCGAGTTAAGTTGGCTGCGCTACAGCAAGTGAAGTGAAGTGGGCAGCACTTGAGCGCTTGTTAAGCTCCCTCTGCTGCTGCCTTAAGCTGACTGCGCTTGACTATTTCCTGCCCTGCATAGCCGTTAGCTGTGTAGGGCATGAGCACATCAGGTTTAGTTCGGTTGAGCTCGTTTAGTTGGCCGCTTCATGGCGCTGGCAGCACCTGGGCGGCGGCGTGCGCTTTGTGTGTTAAGTTGGCTGCATTTCCGCTCACTTTTATCGCACATTAAGTTGGCTGCGCTAGACTAAATCTCAAGTGAGTTAAGTTGGCGTTGCTCACGCCGGTTAGCTGCAGTCGAAGCACATTAAGTCGGCTGCGCTTGGCCCTACATTAGAGTTAAGTAACTAAATGACAGCTCGGGCTCGCTTCATTTTCATGCGTATTACGTACATTCAAGCAATGACAGAGCTCTCAGCTCAGCTACTCGATACTCGTACTATGCATTCTGATGGAGTTGGTTTTGTTGGTTAGTAGACAACGACTAAGGAGTGACATGACAGCAGCTATTAGTTCATATTGCATGATATATGAAATGGATGGGTTTTTTTTTTTTGGTTTTGGTTTGTGAATGCTACGTTAGAGCCTAGGCGTAGGGCCAAATCTAGAACACAAATATATAGTTAACAACAAAACAAACATTTGTAAATACTTTGGAAACAAAGCATGCCGGCAAACGAAACAACAGAGCGAGAGACAGAGAGAGAGAGAGAGAGGGGGGAAGAGGAGCGGGCACGTGCTCGTTATATCAACAAATTGGGAGTTTTATGCTTTTCTTTTATACGAATATGCGAGTAATTGTTGCGGTTATTCGAACTTTTGCTTTTGCTTTTGCGTTTGCTGTTGTTGCTGTCGGCACTTACACATTCTTTTTATTGCCCTTGGAATCATAGAGTGGATCATAATTGCTCCTACAGGAAGAACAAATAGGTGACTGTGTCATTTATATATATATATATACCAACACACATAGACATAAACTTAGAGATAAAGAGAGGGAGAGAGTCTCCACAGTCATCTGGAACTTACGGCTTGGGCAGAATGGTATTATTCATGTTGTCCTTCCATTGGAGATCGGTAACTAAGGCCTGATCCGGCACGTTGGGGCGACAGGTCAATATTAGCGGCTTGCCAACGGGCTTGCGTTGCACCTCCTGCGTCGGATAGATCTGCAGCTTCGGCTCCTGCTGAGCGCTGCATAACTCTGTAGAAAAGAAGATAAAGAGCAGGAGAAAGTCGAATTAGTTTGTGCACAAGTCTGCAAAGGTCTAAGAATTTGATTCCACAGAATAACAGAGTAAGGAATGTGGCTTGGGCAAAAAGAATTGCTCAAGAGACTCTAGAGACAACGACAGATCCTAGCTCCAAAGTGCGTGAGGCGAAGCAGGATTTCTATTAGTAACAGGCGCTTGGTCTTAAGGCTTCCAAGATGGAAGACGTACGGACGGACGGACGGATGGACATTTAAGGACAGACGAAGGAATGGAAAGATTGACGAATGGACAGACGGATGCATGGACGGATGGCTAGACATACGGACGGACGGATAGACAGAGCGACAGACGAAGGGCAATAAATGAATGCATTGAAGGAGGGATGACAGACAGACAGACAGACGAATGGGTAGACGAGCAGGCCTAAGCCGACTCGGCGACTTTTACTTATCAGTGAATAGCTTAAGATTTACATCCAGCCTCCCACTGACTGTTACAGATCTAATCTGATATAATTTCTTGACAGCTGATTACAAACTTCACACACAGCAGTAGGGTCTGCTTAAATGCATAGCAGAGCACACTTTGCCGATGTCTAAAAGCGAATCTCCTTGTTTCGGGCGTGCATTAAAAATATTTAACTTTTAAATATTTAATAAGCTTTCTGTTTTAACACGCATACACATGCATGTGAGTGCCTGTCTGTGTGTGAGAGTAATTCAAATTTAAATTAATTTTAATTGCCACCGTCTGTGCGTGTGGGGGCAGTGGGCGTGGCCACTGTTGCCATTTGCCCCATTGGCAAACAGACAATTACAGCGCAGAGGTAAATTATTAATTAAAGCACGCAGCACATCTCGAATAAAATGTAATTCCCTCTTCTTCCTCTTCGACTTTCTTTTTTTTGTTTGTTTATTTTTTGATAATTTATGCAAATTTATGGCAAAATTGTTGTATTATTAAAGAGCGGGGAAAACAACGAACGTAATTAATCAAAGCTTGAAAGGTTTTATTTTTTACAATATTTATAAATTTATACTCGCTACACATGTGTGAGTGGGGTATATGGGTTTTATAAAGCTCATTTAAATACTTTGAGCAGTATCGAAGGCTGAGTAAATTGTGCTCTGTTCAATTGTCCAACGTTCGTCTGCCATCCATCTGTCCCTCTGTCTGCCTGTCTTCCCTCTGCTCATCTCTGTTTGTCCGTCCCTCTCTCTGGGTGTCTGTTCATCCCTTTGCCTGAACGATAGACCCATCTCGCCATCCATAAAAGCTGGAGCCTTCCACTGCCAGCTCTACAGCAGTTTGTCCCAACTAATCGATAACATTTGCATGAAATCGATTACAAACGATATCAAGCTTGAGTTATTTGAGCATAACTGGAAAGTTTCAAGAGTTAGCGCTTTCATTTGGACACATGGCATTCCTAGCAGAAGAATGTTTCACCTCTAACAATGTGTGCAATTCCCTCGACTCGAGCTGCCTTTTCGTTGCAGTCGTTAGTCACGCACGCCTTAACCATAGTCAAGCATTTCTTTTTTGGTGCCATGCAACAACTGTGGCAACAGCTAAACCAAGAAAAAGTTGCATATTGTTCTTTGGCTTTGCGCTAATTGCGGTCAATTAAACGCTTTGTGCTTGGGATCACAGCAAAAGTTCAAGTTGAAGTTGAAGTTCAGAAAACTTTAAAGCGACAACTTTTTGCAGCTGCTGCTCCAGTTGTCGTTGTTGTTGTTGTTGTTGTTGTTGTCATTTTCATTATCATTTTCATTTTCATGAGCATTACAATTAAATGCCTTGGCTATTTGTTTGACACTTTATTGGAGCGAGCAAAGTCATCTTATCAAGCGACAGCCAAGAAGCTGCCTTTGTTGCCAGCGCGAGTTGTTGGGGGCGGGCTGAGTGGGGCTTTGGTTCTTTGAGGTACAGCCTGTGGTTAATGTGCGGCACTTAAGAGTGAAATTTATGTGCAATGGTCAGTGGCAACAAAGCGAGTAGGAAGATCTCTGCGCGAGTGGGCGGAGGAGGAGCAGCCGGAGAGCGCATCATCTGCCCATCTGCCCATCTGCCCATTTGCCCATCTGGCGGCTAAGCGCAGCGCAGTTGCTGGCACACGCTTGCCTGGCGCACAGCATGCATTTATCTTACAACTTTATAGCTAGGCTCCTCTCCTCCCAATCTCTGCTATTGTGTGGAAAAGAGAGAGAGAGAGAGAGAGCGAGCGAGGCAGACAGCTAACAAAAAGAAAAACACGGAACAGATTCTCAGTGCACACTCGAGTGCATTATTCATTTAATGTAAATGAGTGCGCAACATTCAAACACACACACGCACACACACATGCTGACACTCATTTGACTTTTGGAATACCCTTTGCATACCAAGCAAACTTCTTGTTATTCATCAGTCTTCAAAATCTGAATGACAAACGGCATGAAAGGCAACGTCACTTGGACCCAACAGGCGTGATGCTCTTGCCGATAACTTTGTTATCGATAACATCAGCGTATGCCATTTGATCTAGAAACGCCTGACAACTGTGGAATAGTTGGAAATAATTAAAGAAATTTTATGGAAATTTCATTTCGCATGGAGTTTAAGCCTGATTCTACTCCACAGCATTTTTAGCCAACATTCAGATGTAGATTGGTAAGCAAGAAAGTAAATATATATATATAGCATTTTTATATAACTGTTCTTCATTAAGGCAGAGTTTTGAAATAGAGTTTTCATAGTAATCTCTAAGCTCCATAGCTACCAAGGCTAAGACAATTTGCAGGGTATTCAGTCAGTCGCTTTGACTTGTTAGTTCGCCTTCTTTGATCTTGTTGTTCTGATATTTATTTATTTATTTCTGCTTTTTCATAGTTTTAATATGTTCTTTTCCAGTTGGTTTTCCAATTTTTTTATGACTGCTGCTGGGGCAGCATGAATAAATTGTGGTCTATGGCATTAAATGAGCGCTGAATGCCAAAACGCAGCGTCAAGTGGCTCGCAAAATTAAATATGAGAAATTTATATGCAACGCTGCATCTACTTTCCATTCCAATTAATGCGCTGCAATGCTGCAAAATGGCAACAACAGCAGCAGCTACAGCAACAATAATGAGAAGAAGCAGCAGCAGCAAAGCACTTGGATACTCTGTAATAATGTAAGGATGGGAAAATACAGATTGAATTCTTTTGCTTTTAGAGAAATTCCTGCGGTTGACAGCGAAAGCAGAGTGAAAATAATTCCAGAGCGCCAGAGAGGCAAGTTGGTTAGAGAGAAAGAGCAGAGGAAGCTAGCGAGTTGACTGTGAGAGATTGCTGAAGAGAAACATGAAAGAGTTTGTAGAGAAGAGTGAAAGAAGAGAAAAAGAAGAGAGAAGAGGGCACAGCTGAATGCTCTTTAGAGTAAAGGAGAAAGAAGAGCAGAAAGATATGGATAAGCAGAAGCAATTCAAAAGAGTAGGAGAGAAGAAAGTGAGGTTGAGAAAACGGGAGAGAAGGAGAGAAGGAAGAGGCATATGGATTCATATTCATATGGAAATAATGAGAAAGAGTATATAGAGAAGAAGAGACCTTTAGGCAGAGAGTTGCTGACAGAGAAAAAAGAGATAGATAGACATATCGAGCAAGAGAGTAAGAGAAATAAATCTGCTATTGACATTGAGAGAGAGAAAGAGATTGAAAGTGAAACATAATGAAAGAGAGAGAGCGGGAGAGAAATGTTAACAGAGACATGGCTGGCACCTACGCTCTCTCTTTCTCTATCGCTCCCTTTCACTCTTTCTTTCTCTCTCCCTCTCTCTTTGTCTCTCTTCCCTCTAGCTGCATCACTCTCTTCTCCTTCGCTTCACTCCCAATCAGTTAGTCAATGAATTTATCCGCCTAATTAAGCGACTTGCCGCGCACTATGAGCTCTGCAGCTAAACTAAATGTTTAACGCTTAGCGGTGCTTGGCTTGAGTGGGTAACTGTGTGGTGCAGTGCAGTGGAGGTCACTTCAGCGCTGGCACTTAGCTAATATGCTCAGCGCTGTGGAGTGGCAGAGGTCGCGATGCTAGAAAAGACTCGACGACGGCTGTTGCACCGGGCGTATGCTTAATTTATATTTATTTTATTTTTTTTTTAATGCATGCAGCATAAATAAAGAGGCGCCCCGAAGATAAAATGTGTGCGCCTGGTTGTGTGACTGTGTGTGTGCATTGTGGGCGGCTTTCCGGCGCCGCATAAATAAACAAGCGGTTAAGAATTATCGCATACAGACGCATGCGATATGCCTGAAACTGAACAAAAGAGAGTGCAGCAGAGTGAGGAAGAGGCAGGGAGAGGGAGCGGGGGACTTGGGCACCATATGGCACTTCCTTGACGTCCTTTTTTGCCATTAAATGCGCCCAGGCACAAAAATTATTGTTGAAAAACAATTAACAATTGCGCATTAAAAATGATATGAAAAAGGGAAAATATAAAAATTAAATATATATTTATATATATATATATATACATGATGTATAGGGTCACACACACACCCACTTGATGTCTTGAAGCTTTAAGTGAAATTTAAACTATTTTTTTCCATAATTTTTCCATTCGTGAAAAAGTTAAAATTAATATTTTTGTTTGCGCCAAAAAGTTTGCTAGCGAAAAATGTTGATTTATGTTGCGCCCCACCACCACCCACCGCCCACAACTAGCTGCCACGCCCCTCTCTCACGCTGGCCGAAGAAAAAAGTTAGTTTTGAATTATGGCACAAAAATGTTAACCAAAAAAACTAGAAGAAGACGAAAGCGCAGCCATATTGTGCCTGGCCTGCACCACCTAACTCAGCCGCCGCACCACTAGCACCACCAAAGCCAAATGCGAACTATTTGATGTTTTTTTGTTTTATTTTTTGGTGGCCAAGACGTGCTCAAGTGGTCGCATGTGTGTGAGAGGCGGCCTTTGAAATTTTTAGGCCCTGTCTGTAGCACTTGCGTGTGTGTGTGTGTGTGGGTGTGTGGGT